GACTGCTACTATTAAATTAAGGCTTATTTATCATAATTATACAAATGAAACACAAATATCTTTGGTAGGTTTATTAATTAATTACTACTACACATAAATTACATATAGATAAAAATTACGATTATAAAACTGCAATATACCAGATCTTATCAACCTTCATATAACATTGGTGTGGTAAATTCATCAAACTATTACTGGCCAACCGCCATTTTAGTAGGGTTGTCAGTCTTGATAAAAGCTAACCAGATAAAGTTGTAAAATATCACGAAAAGCTCGAAAAAGATATTTAATATATCAATTTTTAAGCGATTACCCTTTTAGGGCCAATCTGAGTAGATAATTTATACTCAGACCAGATCAGCTTTTCTTTTTCACTTCGAAAGCAATATTGCTTTTGCAAATTTTGCAAATCTGACAACCCTTTCAAATCCTTACATCTAATGGCTAATAAGCGCCATAAAAAGCCAAAATTATGCTATGCATGCACTAACACTATTCCAATATATGTGAGAATACAATAAATAACCGATATTGTAAAATTTTCTCGAAATTCACAACGAAACACAAACTTGTGCAGGTAAGTACTTTTCCAATTCCCAAACTTGTCACGCTCCCAAATACGTAAGTATAGAACGATTACAACTAAATAATCTCAATTTATATACAGAAACATTGTTGGAATGTTTTATATAAAAAATATAAAAAAAAATAAACCAAGTGAGGTTTTGTTCTAAAAATATACTTAGAGCGAAAATGGCAAGGTCATTTTGGATATTATAATTATTACGAAGGTTTATTATAATGATGGATTGTTGACAGTGTAGATGGACTATTGAGATTTTTCTTTTTGGATATTATGTTATGGATTAGATATTAAATACTGTTCTTATATTTAATATCACCCGCCTGCCAGTAGTGGAGTAGATTGTATGTGCAAGTACATCACCATTAGTAAAGAGATTGCATGGTAAATATGAAGCTAAGTAGCTGCCAAACTGTCACTATGATTTACTAGAGAGAAAAAAAAACAAGGAACCATAAATTGGAAATATCTTCGAGAATATTATTAGCATAATAATGATAGAGATCTAAAGAGAAAACTTAAGAGATTACAACACAACCTTTTTAAGGAAATATAATTAAATTATTTATAATTTTCTAAAATAACACACGAAACACGCATTCTCTTCTCTTCCAGCCGCTTACACAATAAACTTGTCCAAATAAATATAATTTAAATTAAAATAACAATTCATTTGTCACAATACAAAAATATCATAATAATATTTAAAAACTTATTTTGTACATACAATTAATTTAACAAATAGTATCGGGTTCTCCCCCGTTCCGAAAATAAGAACGTTATGTTATGACATGAAAATTCTTATTCAATCTAAGACAGGTTAGCTATATGTAATTCTTATTATAATGACTTACTGTTCGATCAATTTAATGCAATCTTACATAATACATCGCCAGAATAGTAGTCTATAGACTGACATAGGTACTAAAAGTATGTAAAGTATAGATAATATTCAAATGAGTTATTTTTATTTCATAAATTGTCTGATTGGATCTCATTTCTATGTATTTTGATTAACAATCTGCTATATTTATTGATTTTTATTCGTTTTTGTAAAATTATGGTGCAGTGAATTGACTTTTTAGTATGGAATTTAATAGATATAGTTTGTATCTTGAAAACATGAATGCAAGTCATCTGCGAAAGCCTTTGACACTGTTAGTCCTCTAACTAGTTAATAGTAATCTGTGATTTGTTTTAAGTTCTACATCATGTAACCTTCATCTAATTTAAGTTTTAACTGCCAACCATGTGACATATTGTAATTTATAGCATATTAAACATTAATACATCTAGTTTTACATGTATAATTCAAAAGTACGCTTCGATGTATGTATCTAGTTTTTTAATTAAAATAAGAACATAGGTATTGTATATTGCATTAAATCGATCACAACAATGCAAACATTTGACACGTAGTTACATTTATGAATTTAATTTAATATGTGGAATACTAGTTTATGATGACTAGACTCGTCACAGTAACGTGCCTTAAGCTAAGAGAACATTGAACGACTATTACATTTATTATTATTATTTTGTGCCATCCCACTTTGGCAACTAGCTGTTGAACCAATCAGGGCTTTCGTGTTTGAATTGATCGTTTGAAGTGTGTGTGACCACTGGACTATATTATCTGTTCTAATATTAATATTATAAAAAGGTTATTGGGCAGTTTCCCAGGTCAAAAATAAATTAATTCGACGTTTCAATACAATAAAATAGGTATTAAAAAATAACTATACTTTTATTCATCGATCTGTCGATATACTAAGTTTTAGTAGATATTTTTTAGCTAATTATTAAGAAATAAGTAAGCTATTTGACGCTCAAATACTATGACGTCATAACTCAGTTTTTCATACAAATTTCATAGAAAAGTATAGTTTTTGACGTTTGGTTAAAAGTATTGAATTTGACTAGTTGGAAACTACCGTATTGTGACATTGAATGTTGGGGGTACATTTTTGCAACCGTTTGGTAGGAATTCCAAGATTCTACTATGTTCCTGAGTATTGAAGGCTATAAGTACTTTATTCGTGTACGAGAAATCGTACCCTCGGGACGCGGGCAAAGCGAAACTTACTAATATATACGTTTAGACAAACATAAACGGTTTATATATGCCAGTGGCGGCATTCATGATCTCAAAAACGAAAGCTCCGATTGCAGTTTTCGACTGGCGTTGAGAACACAGCATTAGGTCAAAGATTCTGTTACCATAACACGGTATATTTTTATGTTTGAAAGTACTAGTACTTTATTGTTCCATTTTATTGGTTTCAATATGAATGTTGTGTTCTAAACGCTAGTCCGTTGTTGGGAATGACCAGTGTCGTCAAATGCCGTGATCGCGAAGTGCTCGTAGGCATCATTACTTCTTATTACAGCCATAATTGTTTTACTTAGCTTGATATAACGGTTTATACGAATATAGATCGTTACCTTTGTATGTGAGTAAAACAATGACGGCTGTATTAGGTTATAATGTGCCCTCTGAAATCTGTTTTAATCTTGCACACTGACCTTTTAATACAACCATGAACATTCATAAGTGGAGTAAGTTACCGATGAGCAAAATTGTTAGTTCAAACAGTTGACTTCGTTTTTACTTTTTGGTAAATGAAATTTATTTATTTAGATTGTAAACAGGGTAAATGTTTTGTTAAATACAATGATTCTCAATAAATTTCTCGATAATGAGCATTGGAGCTGAGTTGAAAGAACGGCGACAAACAAAACGAGATCTACTGACGATTACCTTATACAAAAAAATAACACAAAAAAACGCAATTATAGAAATATTTGGGAAAGTTTGGAAGGTACTTAGTGAGAACTTATAACGTAGGTATTGAATTAGGAGCGACTTCCTTTCAGTTGTACTATATCGCGAAGTTTTAATGAGTGATAGAAAGAGGAACTTTAAAATTGTGTTAGGCACAATGGCAGTGATAACATTCGTTTGAGTTGTTGGAGGGATCATAACGTCGTGATACATCCGACATACTTGAACAGTTGATTTTATCCATAATTCTAAGAGTAACATTTCATACATCGGATTGTTCACGACCTACTTCGCGAATAGACAGCCTGAAAGGGCCCATAATCACACGATACATATCAAAACAATTAGTTTGCAAAATAATTTGTTAAATATTGGCCGGGATATATAATAGAGTTGTGTGGTCCAATCGATATGGTTAAGAATCACAGGAGGAAGCGCTTGTAACGCTTTCAAAAATATAAATAGAATGGAGTAACTAGGGTAAATCGTCAGTCTCGAAAGGTTCGGTTCAGTCCGTTTTAGCAAATTAGTCCCTGTATTCAGACAAAGTGGTTCAGACCCCAGTGCAGTACCATTGTCGGTTACCATTGATACATAGTCACTGACCATTATCACATAATCGATTACCATTGTCGTATAGTAGATTACAATTGTTACATAATCGATTACCATTGTCACTAAGGGTAGCGATAACATGGTATAAATGATAATACGACCCATTGGTATGACTAACAGTTTGCGCGATGCGTGCAAAACTGTGTGTGTTTTATGACCTCGGGTATGTGGTGTTTGAATGTTCAGGGATGTATTACCGAGGTTCAGTATGCTGGGTACAGAGTCCAGAGTGCGTGAGGTGCGCGGGGGTCGTCGGAATTGAAGGCTATAAGTACTTTATTCGTGTACGAGAAATCGTACCCTCGGGACGCGGGCAAAGCGAAACTTACTAATATATACGTTTAGACAAACATAAACGGTTTATATATGCCAGTGGCGGCATTCATGATCTCAAAAACGAAAGCTCCGATTGCAGTTTTCGACTGGCGTTGAGAACACAGCATTAGGTCAAAGATTCTGTTACCATAACACGGTATATTTTTATGTTTGAAAGTACTAGTACTTTATTGTTCCATTTTATTGGTTTCAATATGAATGTTGTGTTCTAAACGCTAGTCCGTTGTTGGGAATGACCAGTGTCGTCAAATGCCGTGATCGCGAAGTGCTCGTAGGCATCATTACTTCTTATTACAGCCATAATTGTTTTACTTAGCTTGATATAACGGTTTATACGAATATAGATCGTTACCTTTGTATGTGAGTAAAACAATGACGGCTGTATTAGGTTATAATGTGCCCTCTGAAATCTGTTTTAATCTTGCACACTGACCTTTTAATACAACCATGAACATTCATAAGTGGAGTAAGTTACCGATGAGCAAAATTGTTAGTTCAAACAGTTGACTTCGTTTTTACTTTTTGGTAAATGAAATTTATTTATTTAGATTGTAAACAGGGTAAATGTTTTGTTAAATACAATGATTCTCAATAAATTTCTCGATAATGAGCATTGGAGCTGAGTTGAAAGAACGGCGACAAACAAAACGAGATCTACTGACGATTACCTTATACAAAAAAATAACACAAAAAAACGCAATTATAGAAATATTTGGGAAAGTTTGGAAGGTACTTAGTGAGAACTTATAACGTAGGTATTGAATTAGGAGCGACTTCCTTTCAGTTGTACTATATCGCGAAGTTTTAATGAGTGATAGAAAGAGGAACTTTAAAATTGTGTTAGGCACAATGGCAGTGATAACATTCGTTTGAGTTGTTGGAGGGATCATAACGTCGTGATACATCCGACATACTTGAACAGTTGATTTTATCCATAATTCTAAGAGTAACATTTCATACATCGGATTGTTCACGACCTACTTCGCGAATAGACAGCCTGAAAGGGCCCATAATCACACGATACATATCAAAACAATTAGTTTGCAAAATAATTTGTTAAATATTGGCCGGGATATATAATAGAGTTGTGTGGTCCAATCGATATGGTTAAGAATCACAGGAGGAAGCGCTTGTAACGCTTTCAAAAATATAAATAGAATGGAGTAACTAGGGTAAATCGTCAGTCTCGAAAGGTTCGGTTCAGTCCGTTTTAGCAAATTAGTCCCTGTATTCAGACAAAGTGGTTCAGACCCCAGTGCAGTACCATTGTCGGTTACCATTGATACATAGTCACTGACCATTATCACATAATCGATTACCATTGTCGTATAGTAGATTACAATTGTTACATAATCGATTACCATTGTCACTAAGGGTAGCGATAACATGGTATAAATGATAATACGACCCATTGGTATGACTAACAGTTTGCGCGATGCGTGCAAAACTGTGTGTGTTTTATGACCTCGGGTATGTGGTGTTTGAATGTTCAGGGATGTATTACCGAGGTTCAGTATGCTGGGTACAGAGTCCAGAGTGCGTGAGGTGCGCGGGGGTCGTCGGGGGAGGGGGGCCAGCTATGCGGCGTTTGGCTGCGGTATAGCGGTGCGGGGTCACCGCGCAGCGCCGCGTCCCCGCCGTCCCGGCTTGCCGCGTCGGTTGAAGCCCCTATAATGTCGACATACCATATTGTTGGGACACAAGATAGGATACTAAATAAATTCTAATAAAAATACCATCATTTAATTAGTTTTAGTAGATAAATTAGTCCTTAAATTTAACACTTTACTAAAAATTGTTTCTGTTTTTTTATTGAAAAATATATGATTCTATACTCTGAATTTTAATTCCGTTCCAGATTTGACAATTTCAGTGTTGCAACGTTATGACATGTAATAAATAGTGACGTTGCAAAATTATTCGATATTTGAATCGAATATTTCTGGATCGATTCCTCTCATTTACAAATTTACTCTCGTAAACTAAGTTTATCAGGAAATAAAATATTTCTGAACCGATAGTTTAGTTTCGACAATTAATTAACGATCTGAGACTTTTCTTTTGTAATTGTGTGTGAAATTAATAAAAAATGTGATCATGAAGGAACGTGACAGTAAAACAGCCATTTTATAACTTGTCGCCTTCATCGCTATCGCTATCGCTGTTACTCTATGTAACATTTATTATGAATTGTGTCTGTGATATTTATTGTCAATTAACATATCTCACTCATTTTTTCCTCTTCTCTGAAAACATGGGATACACATTTATACCATTAGGTAGCCGTCATTTTCTGAATGCTTCCTGAAACTGATTCACTGATTGTTTATCGATTTTTGTGTTGATCACTACACTGTTATATGTGGTATCATTATTTCACAAAATGAAAGTGGTCAATGTCAAATCAGGAATCAAATTAAAATTCTGACTATAGTTTAATATTTTATAGCAATATAAAGTTACCTGTAGGGGCCGCGGTAAGCAGATCGGGCGGGCGAGCCGGGAGCGGAGTTATCATTAGAGGAGTTCCCGGACTGACGGGCGTTGCAATTGATCGCGTTGTTATTCGGAGCCTTCACCACCTCCGGTGTAGCTGCTGGAGCGCTGTTATTCACCTGGATCAATAGAACAGTATGTTAACAGAGTGGAAGTATTATCGCCTTAATACCCAAAGCAATATAAGTACAATAAATACAATATTATCATCTTGTTTAAAAGTGGGAGAGTTATGCTATGGCACGAATGGGTCGGCTCGAACGGACTGATACTACGGCCTTACAGAACATCAGCGTGAAACAGCCAAACGACGTTTCGTTTAGTTTACCGGACGTCAACCTTTTCCTCGATTATCTTCTAAAACATTATCCCCAAAAAGCTTTCAACGCATTTGTAGCTTGTCTGGAGTTGCATATGTCCATAGGCAAAGCCGATTGCTTATCATAACGTAAAACCATATTAAATTTGAACTAGTCGGCGCGGGGCTCGACCGCGCGTGTCTTTGTTGTTTTCAAAGATTACTCGTCACTCACTAGAGGGGCGGCGCGAGCGCGGACTCGTGTCGAGCGTCGAACTAGAGGTGGGGTGTGCAACGTTTCGTTAGTATTACTAACTCGTGCTATAGGTTTACAGTGACAACTTTGACATCACGTAAGAAGTCCGATCGTAGTACTAGTTGCATGTATGGAATTGTCATCATAATTCACAACCTTCGATAGCCTACAGCTGGAGATTAGGCATTTTCTTTGTTACATAAAAATAAATGTTCTATTATATTCTACATAAGAGTAAATTTGCCTTGAACTATCCACTTGGGTTTCTGTATACATTCAAAATTGATTGTTTAAATTATAAATGAGGTAGGTACATTATTCTCGTTGTCCTCAGGAGTGGTGATGGTGAGCGGTGGCGGGCCGGGGTCGTTGCACCCAATGATGCCGCCCTTGGCCATCTGGTAGGCCATCATCTTCGCCATCTCATGTTGTAGTTCCTTAAAAGAAAATCCATATTATAGGCGTGGATAGTAAAATAAAGTCTTTCTCAGTCCCTTTTTTTTTTTGTGAGGGGAAAATCATCAAATGACTTCTCTCGCCCAGGGCTGGGCGGGAGGGAGTGTCAGACTCTTACTGACTAAAAACCCCCCTGTTCCTTCTCCTGCTCTGGGCCGAGGAGGAGGATTGCTCCCTCACGCGGGCCGCCTCTCTGCTCTCTCTGCGGACTGCTTCACAAAAGGAGGAGACGGCGTCCCAGTTCCTCTCGCTCCGCACCATGGCCTCGACTAAGGCCGGGCGCGAGAGGTCGCCGTTTCTCAGTCCCTAGCCGTTTGTTTTTAGCCTATGTAAACTTAAATCTTTAAAAGTACAAAACATATTTGGATGCGATTTTTATAACCGAATCCGTGTACACACAGGCACAGGCACCATGTAAATCTATTGCGTATGGCGTAGGGTGCCCGAGGTGTATGATACAACTAAAACATAAAAATAACTCGGCTAAAACGACATTTGTCAAAAGAGTCCCGTAAATAAAAGTGTCTTTATTTGTCACCCATATCATGCCCACAGTGTTCGTTTCAAGTAATTTCGTAAATTTGTAGACTTCAGAGGTTGTAAACCAAGTTGTTGAGTCACATTTTATTATCTATACTAATATTATAAAGCGGTAAAATTTGTAAGTTTGTAATTCGTATGTAGGGGGTAATCTTTGGAACCGCTGGTCGGATTGCTATTGATAGATAGCCACAATGTTCCAGAGTGATATAAGCTAGCTAAAACATCACGCTACGATCAAATGGAGCCGAGCAGCGGGTGAAATCGCGCGAAAGTACCTAGCTAGTTATTTATAATTCTAACTTTTTAACTTTTGTTTCTCAAAAAATCTAATGCTTTTGTCATAAGGTTCATTTTTGCTTCAAAACATGATGGGGTTAAAAATAGTGCGGAAAATTAAATGGAACGTGAACAAATTCTATATAACACTCTTGAATAAATAAAACACACCTGGTAGAAATAAGTCCCTTACCTTCCATTTCCATAAAAACACATAGATCGTGACTTTTAAACGCACTGAATCAATTTTCTTACTGCTTACTTTCGAAACAATGGAAACTGTCTCTTTAACAAGTGGAAACACGAGAACAAGTTGAGGTGAGTCCCCAGGAGAATCATCAAAGTCAAAATTCCATGATGTCTCTGGGGCACCAAGCGCTCTGGTGGTCAGACATCACGGATTTTTTGTTTGACACCAGGCACTAAAGATTGCTAAAAATACCTCAGCACGGAATCGGTTAATAGAGTGATTGAAGAGGAAGATTTCCGTGCGAAGCCGTCGCAGGTCGCTAGTAAAAATATAATGAAAAACATTTTTTACATCAATTGACATCATAATTTTGCTGTGTGAGGACCATTTAAAACAGAGCAAGCTAGACTAAACCGAATAAGGACGACCAAGGAAGTCTCTTATAACATACCCGTAACTCCTCGGTTAAGTGGAATTGTGGTGCAGTGAAGGAGGCCATTGGTGGTGGGGCCTTGGCCAGCGCGTCCACGTCGATATTGGTCAGGGTGACGCGGCATACAGGGCACATCTCCTGTACACATACAGATATAATTTATTTATACTGTGGGTGTCCACTGCTGAACAAAGGCCATAATTGCCTTGCTTGATAGAGGAAATCTCAATTCAATCCTGATTTTCATATTGACAATTTATTTTAAATAACTCTAGGATTTGCTCCTGTGTCGTGTGTCCGTTTACAAAAATACAATTTCACATACACAAGACATTCAGACCCGGAACAACAAATTGTAGATCACACACAGAGTTGTTTCGTGTTGGAACCGAAACGGCGACACGTTACATGGCAGCGAGTTGCCCAGCCACCGCGACAACCGTGCAGTCGATTAATTTTAATCTCGTGATAATATTTATTTAATTCAAGCTCTATTATTGGCATTTCTGACATAATTATTTGTAAACAAAACTTGCCTTAAAAGGATCCTTGGTAGCCTGCTGCCAGGCTGGCAGCACTGCCATCTCTTCCTCATGATACCGCCGACCAGAAATCAGATGAAGAGCCAAGCAATGGCTATGGAAATAGTGATAGCATTGGGTCCTCACGAAATGGTCTCCCTTACAGAACCCGAAGAGACAGATCATGCACTGACCGCTTGGCAAATTGCACTCCGTAAGACAATCTCGAATGAGCTGAAAAATTATTGGAAATATGAATTTACACATTTTTGTTTTAAATATTATGCTGCATCCATCAAACTTCTTAGAGACCAGCTTTAATTCTATCTAGTAAATGATGTAATAAAAAGTGTAGGACTGTGTAACAATACTCATATTAGTCACATAATCCCTATGCCAATGCTGACCAAAAGCTTGTCCTGGCATGGAGAAAATTTAAGCAATGCACATGTAATAAGAAATTGTAATTCTAGGTTTCTTTACAATGTTTTACTTCACTTCAGCTGTGTCTAAATAATCTTAGAAAGTACATATACTTAGCTTAGAAAAGTCACATTGGTATTTGCCACCAGAATAATAAAATTTGATGTGATTATTGCTTATTTCTGTCTGATTCATATATGATCTTCATAGAATGTAAGTTTATTTGTCTATGATCTTAATATGAACAAAATAACAAATAATAATATATTTTTCTTTATGGTTGTTGTTTAATATTAATGGTATATTATTTTTGTTATCTGTTATGTATTATATTATTGTGATGATGCATTGGTAAGAGCATAAGTCATAAAGAACTGGACCTAGATTTTGCCATTTCTAATTTTTGTTTTCATAATTCTCAGTAGAAGGTTGTTACAAAAATTAACATTAGAGAGGAAATCGGAAAAATGCAACCGGTTGGATACCCGTCCGAAGTAAGAGTGGGTCATTAGTATATAAATTATTGCCACTTTACATTTTAATTTTACATACTAAAGAAAGGGTTTCTATAAAAAAAAACTTTACGCCTATCAAATCACATACCTGCCTTTCCTGTTTCAAGTTTTAATATTTTATTAATTTATTTATACACACATATCCATCTGTATAAGATAACAATTGATTTGGTAATACATAGTCCAGGACAAATCCAATTAAATAAACAATAATAATTTTCCAATTCATAATAATTTAAAATTAAAATTATTTTTTATGTTATATCAAAACAGGTTGGGGAATGTCATCATCATCATCAGCCTATAAATGCCCACTGCTGAGCAAAGGCCTCTTCTCATACTGAGAAGGTTAGAGCATTAATCACCACGCTTGCTCAATGCGGGTTGGCGATTTCAAACTTATAATTAGAAATTATAAGTCCAGGTTTTTTCACGATGTTTACCTTCACCATATGTCAGTGGTGTCTAACTAAATAATCATAGAAAGTACATATAACTCTGAAAAAGTCACATTGGTACCTGCCAGGTTTCGAACCCTCACCCTCATGAATGAGAAGCGGGCTGCTTAACCTCCGGGCCACCACGACATTGGGGAATGTATTTACTTTATAATTGGTTTTTGTGTTATTATGAAAACAAATAAAACCCATTTAGATGCATTAAATATACATAGTACTCTAGTCAGATTGGTAAAATCAATAACAGATAATACTGGCAATTATGAATCAGATAAAATTAAGTAACTTATTTTTTGTATTGTTTAGACCTCTACCATCTGGTGAAAGTTTTTTGCTTCATCGTTTACACCACACACATCTAAGCTTGCCTGTAACAGTCTTCCCGTCCAGTTCTGATTTAGGTGTCTTTAAGGCTAGAGTAAAAAGGCTCTTAATAAACTAATGCACTTTACCATCAACAATTGTATCATTGCTTACCATCAGGTGGGAATGCAATCAAGAACTAGTTTAAACAATTATATAAATGATTTAATCTTGTAATATTGTTATATTCTTAGGAACATTGGATAGCATTTCAACACAAACATTAAAAGAAGTCGGTTAAAAAAAATATGTTTCACTCACATAAACTTCATGAAATAAAAGGAATAGAGATTGAATAGTACATCATAGTACAGATTCAAAGGACAGAAAGTAGATACAGAAACCACTTAACCAAGATAATAAACAAATAAAGACTTACCTCAATCAGTTCAAAAATCACTGGTGATCCAAGACAGTCAGCTATTTTCTCCCTTATTTGTACATTGATGTTGGCTAGAATATCATCATCGAGACCTCGCGGATTCCTAAGCGTTACCTCAGGAATGCTATCAGGGTATCCTGGCGTCAATTTCACAACAAGAGTCACACAAACGTACTGCTGCTCCACATCGTCACCCGTTGATGGATGGAGGACGGTCTCGATGACCTGAGGAACGTCCCCCACTCGTTTTATCACCACATCATCCATTAGAATTGCTTCTAGAGCCTCGATCTCGTCAGTCACCCTAAAAAAGAAGTCAAAATTGATCACTTTGCCTTTTAAAACACTATGTACAGGAACCACCAAACAATCACACACCTTTCATCCATGATGGACGACATATCGACTGATACTGATATGTTTTATGAGCTAGAAGGCCCGGGAATCTGGGGTGCATTCAGTTCAGGCAGGCGCAGTGCAGCTATTGCAACGAAACAGCTGGGATTTCTGTAAATTCGCGACGAAAATCAATCACGGGTGCCACAGATTATATTACTACTACTTTGTAGGGTAGGGCCAAACATTCTGAAATGTCGACTAAATTTTGACATATGAATCGATTGATTTCAATCGAATAAAATTAGGTATTTGATTTATGCCCCATGTTGCAATGGAGATAGGTACATAGGGATAATTATTAGGCACAGAGAAAGTGAATTTGTTTTGATATACATGTGTGATATACATAGCCATATAAGGTACTTAGTTGTGAGCCGTTGTTACTCGCACTACCAAAATTTTGAGTGAAGATTATTTAGGGATCACTAGGTAGGTTCTTACACATAGAGGAGTATCTATTTAAATGTGTTAAAGGCTTGTTTTCTGCAGGCAGACATATATAGGTGGACAGATTTTTAGATTCTTACTGACTAAAAACCCCCTCTTTCCTTTTCCTGCTCCAGGCTGAGGGCGCGGTACCTCGCGCTTGTTACCCAACCTCGGCTGGTCAATAAGGCCGTACAAGTCTTTGTGGGGATAAGGGTTTCGGAGATTTAGGGATTAGGGGAGGCAAAGGATTGGGCCTCAGGAAACCTTACTCACACGATGAACCACAACGGTTATTTCAGGCTGGTTTATGTGAGTGAGAAATGCAAGATTATACTATGATTTTAATAAATGATATAGTAAGATAGAATTTATTATATAATTTATGTAATATAATAAGGTATTGAAGAACCTGAATCATGCTCGTAACGCAGGTTACTTAAGTTAGGAAGTCAGCATAAGAAAATAAACTAACTGTCATTTTTGCGATAAGAACATTTATTATATTAAAATAAAGATTTTATTTCCATAAAGGTCTACATAACTAGATCTTTAACTTTTCTTATTCCTAAGTTATATATATGTCACCGGAAAATAACAAGATCCGTAAGTTTATCAATTCACTAGGAAGTTTATAAACTTTCGTAAGATTCTAAACGGGAGATAAATTGTAATATTTTACGTCCACATTTTCGTATCCAAATGTCAAAAACGATACTTTCTTGATATATAAATATGAAACATAGCTTAAAAATTAGCTAAAAATTCGAAAATTTTTGTGTATCGACAGATTGATGAATAAAAGTATAGTATTTTTTTCAATATTTTATTGTACCGTATTGAAACGTCGAATCAATTTATTGATTTGACCTAGGAAACTACCCAATTGTATAATTTCCACACCACAATATGGTTATGGTGTATCGGGTTTAGGTGGTTAACTAAAGGTAAATAAACTTAGTATGCTTGTGTGTTTTTAAATTAAAAAGGTCAAATATAATACAGACACAGATTATTTAAATTTAGCTTACATCAATTTAGTTAAAGACCTGATTGTTAACATTTTTACATAAGTACCTACCTACTATTTTTAAATAACTTTTATATGAAAAAAAACATGCGAAGATTGTTTACAATAATAATTTATTAAATCACTGGACGAGACAAACTTGCGTAGCGTACTGTCAATTGTCAAATGTATGAAACCGGGCGTTCTATTGCGATATGTCCCGACACGCAACAAAAGTGTGTTTTATTAATGTTGCGAGTTCTTTATTCGCCTCGCAAAAAGTCTCGCGATTCTAACAAAAGTAGGTAAATGTGATAATATTATATTTTCTTGCGAACAATTAATATAATTTAGATCATTGAGCCAATACTCGTGTTTATTGTAATCTAATGCGAAGAATTAATTGTTATTTTTTCCACTAACTAACTTAGGTATCTACATTTTTCAAATAAAACTTGTTTTATTTTGTGCTATTTCCTACAGGTTCCATATTCAATACCTACTGCAGGTTTAGAAAAAGGAAGCCTTTGAGTACCTATACCTAATTAATTACCTTTAAGTTTTAAAATATGTAGATTAATCGTCAAATTATTCTATATTAAGATTCCGCACTTGATCTGCTATATTGATTTTGTGTACTTGTTACGACAATGCGCAAATAAACACGTATTTTTTTTATTTTGTCTATAGGTACCTAGGTACCGTTGTGCAGCTTCCATAGACTATCCTAGACCGGTGCTACTATTAACTATTCGAAGTTTTTATTTTTTTACTTGCAAATACTTATTGTGAATACTCTTCTCATAATTGGTATTTATTTATTTTAAATTAAATTAAATTAAAGTAGTTTTATTTTCGACTTCGGAACTTAGTCCTGTGGTAGCAGTTTGCATGCTAGATAATTCTTCACGATGTATCTTCCTCGACCTCGCTAGTCTGAACAGGGACTTGCGGTGCGCTAGTTTAATAACAAATTCATTTTGAATATTGAACCTGCAAAAACAAAACGTTGCTTAGAATCGTGTAACACGCAATCGTTAGTAAATTATTATAAAGTTTCCCCTCGCTAGGATTTTGTCCTGAGTCGTGGGTGCGTTTACAAACATCCACATCAGACCCAGACCCGGAATAATAGTTTATGGATCACACGGAGTAGTTCTGCGCAGGAATCGCACCCGCGACACGTTGCAAACCACCTGGTTGCCCAGCCACCGCGTCAGCTGCTGCAGCTGTGCGTCACAATTGATCTCATGCACAGTGATGGCGTTAAAGTTTACCTACGTAGTCATAAGGTGAGGCAAGATATATTTTATACATAAATCACGTAAGTCTCTTCTGATTAATATCGATGATATTGTAAGTAAAAAGGTGTAGAACAAATAGCTTTGCTAAAAGGAATGACCAACAGACTGACACTTTTTATTTTAAAGTTTTGTTTGACCTTCCAAAGACCCTGTCAGGGACTAATTGAAATACCTTAATGATTCTGACTTTGAATTTGCCTTTCTAACTTTTTGACGTTGCCTTTTTGACTTTGCCCTTTTGACTTTGCCCTTTTGATTTTGACTTTTTGACTTTGACATTTTATTTGACTTTTTGACTTTGACTTTGTCTTTGACTTTTTTACTTTGACCTTTGTCTTTGTCTTTGACTTTGACTTGTTGTTTTGAATTAGACTTAGAGAAATTACATAAACAAAATGAAATGTTCAAAAACGGCACACTAACGCAATTACGTATTGCAACAACACACTACAGTATGATTAGACGTCAAAGTGGGATGGCATTATTCAATAATCGCGAGTGAAAAAGAGACAAATGAAAAATTGTGGCTAGTTAGCCACATTTTAATGTGTTACTCACTGAGCGCTTATAATAATGTACACCTTTTCACTTATAATACCATTGATACATAATAATTTTGTAGTCTACAGTACGGCCGTATCTTGGCGGTTCTAAAGTTAGCCGTTTGTCTGCGCAACGGATCTTTTAGGATCAAAATCGTGTACTGCGCAGCTAATCGGCTAACTTCAGACTCGCCAAGATACATTGGCGGTATTGTATGTGCTGAAGACAATACTTTTAGTTAGATGGAAGGACTTATTAGCTCCCTAAATACATATAAATTATCCACATAGATCTATCGAATTCTACCCATGTTATGTTAACCCAAACAGAATTACTTATAGGTAAGTGTAAGTTGTACCTAAGTAGGTTGAGGTGTAATACTTACTTTTTGCATAATTCAGTTAAAACGTTTTTGTCACAAATGTACACGAAAAATATGATGACTCCAATAAGACTGTTGTAAGTGTTGTTCAGGATGAAAAGGAATGTGTTGTCAGGGTTGGGAATCAACTCGAGAACCCAACTGATGCCCATTGTAAGTGATAGTTTCATATACGTCTTGTAACTGAAAATTGTTAAAAGAAAGTCTATATAATAAAATAATAAATTAATATTATACTCAATTTTTCGGACCGGAATGCATGGTCTCACAGTAAACCACCGTGAAACAACCACAGCGTTGTGTTTCGCCGTGTAAGTGAGTTTACCGTCGGTGGCCCAATCCTTCCCCTCCCCTAATCCTTTCCCAATCCTCTCCTAATCCCCAAAAGGTCGGCAACGCACTCGACTTTCCATTGTTAAATTGCGAATGTCCGTGGGCGGCGCTGATTGCTTACTATCAGGTAATCCGTCTGTTCCTTTGCTGTTCCATCAAATATAAAGTGAGCCACAAAAAGGGGCCGGCTCAACCGAATTTATACTACAGCCTTACAGCATATCGACAAAGTATAAAGCTTACTATGACATCGACGTGGAACAACTAGGTACAGGTTTAGAAGTTATGGGGGTGTAAGTGGGGAAGGGTAACCGAAGGTCTGCAAATATACTCGAGTGGGGTGTCAAATGAAAGCGCTCTGGAAGGGAATGTTGATGACTTAGTCGAGAGTGCTCTTAGCAATAGTATAAAGTGATATTGTTTTTTTGTCGGTTTTTTATTTTATTTTATTACTATTGTCTACAATAAAAAGTATCTATCTATATCTATTAAAAAGTATTTTGTAATCACTCACCTGTTTTCCCTGCCACTTCGTCTGAACTCTGCATTGTTTTTTGTTGAGTTCGTAGTTGTCATTATGTGGTAAATCGTCATAATAAACAAGACTATGTTTATAAACATTATTATACCTAGCGGTATATAGTAGTACCTTTCAATTCCATACTCTGAAAATAAAAATCAAGTTTTTTTTTTTTTATGTAATAGGTCGGCAAACGAGCAGACGGATTACCTGATGGTAAGCAATCAGCGCCGCCCATGGACACTCGCAACGGCGGACTTCGAGTGCTTTGCCGACCTTTTAGGGATTAGGGATTTGGAGATTTAGGGATTGAGGAGGGATTGGGGAAGGGGAAGGATTGGGCCTCCGGTAACCTCACTCACACGGCGAAACACAACGAAGTGGTTATTTTACGCCGGTTTTCTGTCAGGCCGTGGTATCGCTCCGGTCGAGCCGACCCATTCGTGCCGAAGCATGGCTCTCCCACACTTAAAATACAATATACTTAGTTCGTTTTAAGACATAACAGCTATGATTTTTTAAAATTTAATTTTATAAATAAAAAGACATTGTTAAATAATAGTCAAATACAATATTTATATTGAAATGTCAAAAACGTGATCCCAACATAGATGACGTCGTAATCATTTTACGTCAAACAACGTACCTACTTATTTTTGAATATTTAATTAGAAAAATGTAAAGTTAAGTAGGTATATCGCCAAATCAATGAAAGATTTAAAAGTAAGTCAAAATTATTTGGTTTTGACTCAGGATTTATAAATATCTATTGTTGAGATTCTAAAGATTTCTAGGTTACCTATACTTTAAAATATCCTAGATTATATTTATGTATTTTTAAATTTATACAAATATTTGACATGTGTATGTATATTTATTTGACCTTATTGTTGTATTTACTTGACATCTTTTTTCTTATATTAAAGATGGATTTCTTCTTTTTTGATTTGATTTGAGCTTTTTGGCGGTTTGATACTCACTGAAATCCAGTAAGTTTTTTTAAAACTTTGCCCCACACTAGGATTTTCTCCTGTATCGTGGGTGCGTTTACAAACATACAAATTCACATACACATCACACCCAGACCCGGAACAACAATTTGGGGATCACACAAAGAGTTGTTCCGTGCGGGAATCGAACCCGGGACACGTTGCACAGTAGCCAGTTGCCCAGCCACCGCGCCAACCGTGCAGTCAAAATTAATTATGTCTACAAATACTTACGATTTATGAAACAGTCGTCGAATGGTGGTTTGATAATATATTTCAATTTAGTGATGTCGGTGTTATCAAAGTAGACGGCGACTCCAGTGATTAGCAGCGGCACGCCCCATGCGTACAGACCGTACCGGCTGAAGCTGACCAGCTTGTCCCGCCTCGTTACTTTATAAATACCAAAATTAGTTCTGCCAATGTAATGAAAATAAATAAAATTTATGAATCATCAAATCTCGTTTTCAAACAAGAAGTGCAATACATTATTACGTTTTCGGCTCACTCACGTAATTGTTTGACGAGATACTCGACTAGTTTCAAGCCATGCTAGAGGCCCATATTCATGAGCAGCATTCCGCGACACGCGACGCGGCGGCTGTCGCGCTGCTACGGTAGCAGTTACGTGAGTAAGCCAAAAACATAATAATTAATTTAGTACGTGTCACGAAACTTATAATTAAAGAAAGAAATGCAATCTTTACATTAGTTATGCCAATGTATTTTTTTTACTGAATCGTTTTTTTTTGTCAAATGTGAGTGTCACGGTGGCCTGGATTTTAAAAGCGCGCTTCTCATGACGGTGCGGATTCGTAACTTCCATCGACAAAACGGAGCCCTTTTTGTGAGGCGATAATCATCAAATGACTTCTCTCAGGTTTTTTTTTGTGAGGGGAAAATTATCAAATGACTTCTCTCGCCCAGGGTAAGGCGAGAGAGAGTGTCAGACTCTTACTGATTAAAAACTCTCCCATTCCTTCTCCTGCTGTGGGCTGAGGCCGCGGTGACTCATTGTATTTAACCCGCAACCCTGGCTGAATAACGTTAGTACCTAATACGACATTTTCAATAAATCAGTTCCATTTTTAAAAGCTTGCCATATTTAAAACGGACTAAACAATAGAATTTGAGATTGAATCATAATAAATGTAATACTACTTATTTATTATTAGGTATTTTCGAGTTAATGAGGAAACAAAATTGATAAATACTAAATTTATTTACGCTTTTGTGGTTGATTATGACTAGTAGGAAATATTTAAAATTTAAATGGACTTAGGTACTCTGTACATTTGTATTGTAGTAGCTTAACAAAATTTAGTGTATCGATGAATAAAAGTATAGTTATTTTGTCAATATTTTATTGTATTGAAACGTCGAATTAATTTATTTTTTACCTAGGTAACTACTCAGTTATAACGTAGGTTACAAATACAGTTAACACGATGGCTGGGCAACCGACTGCCGCACGGAACAACTCTTTATGTGATTTACAAATAGTTGTTCCGGGTCTGTGTATGTGAAATTGTGTGTCACGACACAGGAGAAAAGCCTAAACTGGGCATCGTTTCTTAAAAATGAAATTGAAAATGGAAAATATACATACACTTTTATAATTATGTACGTGTTGGACAGACCTTTCAATCCTCATACTTTCTCGTTCTTTAGAACTGGAATGGGTATAAGATCATAGAAGTACAATCCAAACTAATATTATAAATACGAAAGTAACTCTGTCTGTCTGTCTTTTCTTCACGCCTAAACTACTGAACCTATTTGTGTGAAATTTGGTACAGACATAGTTTCGAACTGGAGAAAGGAAATTGGTTTGTTTTGAAACCAAAAATCTGCAGGAAGTCACTATTCCACGCGAACGGAGTAAAAATAAAAGCTAGTAACCTTATAAGGACCTTCTCTATTTTCAGAATTTGTTTATAAAATCATAGAAGCACAATAATAAATGAAACGAAAATTGTTATATTCACCTTAATCCCCTCCATATACAGAATGAGAAAGCATTCAACCAGAAAAAACTCGACAGCAACAGAAAATATAGGAAAGGAGCTGAAAGGAAAATGAAATTAGCATTAACATTAAATAATTATGAGGACTACTTGAAACTCTTTCTTTTATTGTATACTAGCTACTCTCGCGCGGTTTCACCCGCTGCTCCTTTTAATCGTAGCGTGATGTTTTAAACCCTATAGCACGCAGGAACATTGTAGCTATCTATCAGTGAAAGAATTTGGCAATCCGACCAGCGGTCCCAAAAATTACCCCCTACATACAAACTTACAAAATTTATAATGAAAATAAAAAAATATTAATATGTCGTCATTAATAATTATTTTTGTCTTTAACTACCTGCTAATTTTTTTAAAGAATTTTTTCTTAAAAAGAGAAAAGCATGGTGTGAAAACTTTGATTATAATTTTATACATATACCTACCTACCTACAAAACTTTTTTCCAAACAAACATTACCTGAATTTTCGAGTTTTCTAAATAAATTACGCATTTGAAGTTACGAACAGTAATGTACGTAATAAATAAATGCAGACCCGAACAAAAAACATCGTGCAACTCATTTTTATTTTGCAGAATTGTACTAGCTGTGAACCTACGCACACAATGACACGTTTGCTATACATTGCGCGCAATAAAATTATTATGTTTTTGATACCTAAAAATAAAAGTCGTTTCCCAGTTATAATTTTAGCGTAAAGCTAATTAGAACTGCAGTATGCAAAGTTAACGGCTTCGTTAAGTGTCTTTTTACACCCCGTATATTTAAAATGCGGTCTTAATAAGTAAGCAAGAAAAACTTCATACTTACTTATTATTTTGCAGCTGTCATTTCTCAAATGTGCAATGGTTGCCTGCATGATAACTTTAATTATAAATCCTAGTAGAATTGTTATTGTGTAAGCCATCATTAAAAGTCCAGTGAAAGACGAGTGGAGCCTTTTTAACATGCAGTGAACTATAAATACGAGTAGCAGAAACACCGATGATATTGTCACACCTGAAATCGAGAAACATATTCATGTAATTAGTTAATATTTAGTTAAGTTAACAGTTAACTCTTTCCGCCTGGGTGAGGCGAGAGGGAGTGTAAGGTCTCGTTACGTACACGCGGGGCGTTGCGCGGCGCGTATTCGTTTGTCGTACATTACAGCAACAATTCGTGTTAACGGCCTTGCAAACACAAACATATGAACATCACGAGCAATGTATGACGAACCTCACAGCACAACGCGCTGCTTAAACGTAAACGAGGCCTAAGTCTCTTACGGACAGACGCGTCAAAATCACTTTACACGCAGCTATACCACATTGGCCCTATTGGGCCTCGTCTGAGGTGGTCTGAAGGCTCTTTGAGGAGCGCGGGGACGCTCGGTTCCGATTGGTCGGGCGACGCGTTCCCATTTATCTTCCTTGCTGTCCAAACAGAGTGATACATCTAAGCCAGCACATTCGTGCCTCGGCATTGTTCTTAACATACCAAGGACCCAAAGGAAACAGTATGAAATTCATCGCGTGGCCTGAATCTCGAATCTCTTATCCCTAAAGCCCAAAATTCCCAAACTTCAATTCCCTAAGCGCCAAGAGTTGCAAACGCATTATCATCTTATAGTTCTTTACCTATATAGTCAAAAATAGTTCATCATCATCATCAGCCTATAAGTGCCTACTGCTGAGCAAAGACCTCTTCTCACACCGAGAAGGTTATAGCATTAATCACCACGCTTGCTCAATGCGGGTTGGCGATTTCAAACTTATAATTAGAAATTATAAGTCGAGGTTTCCTCACGATGTTAACCTTCACCGTATGTCAGTGACGTCTAAATAATCATGGAAAGTACATATAACTCGGAAAAAGTCACATTGGTACTTGCCAGGTTTCGAACCCAGACCCTTATGAATGAGAAGAGGGCTCCTTAACCTCCAGGCCACCACCACATAAAAACTACAACAAACATATAATTATATTTACCTATTAGAAGTAGGGTCTCATTTATTGGATTAATTTTCGGTGGCGTAAAATATTCCTTGATTACTAATAACATTCTCATCTGTTTTTTAAGATATAGGAGTCTGAAGTCCACACAATACTTTTCAGGAGGAAGTGTACGCCATTGTTTTGTATGTATGGCATCATACACGTGAATGGCCGCGTTCTGAAAAAAAAACCGTCTTTTCTTTAATAGTGAACCATAGTACGTTCATCGGGCAAACAGAATGTTAACATTACAAACGCTTGCGTTTGAATTAGTATATTTTTGCTGTAGCTAAAATAGTTTACCTTTTCATAAAACTATATATATATATATATATATATATATAGATGTATCCATTCGGCAAATGTTGATCAGACGGGTTGTAGCATCAGTTAATTGTTGATCAGTTAGCAATTGTTGATCAAAACAGTTTTTGTTGATCTAATGTATGATTCGGCATACAAATGTGGCTCCACTATGATCAACAATTGCTAACTCTCTAGCGGCACAAATAAGAACTATTCATTGCATTTTTTATACAAATCCGCTCCATCAATTGTTGATCTGATTCAAATGGACCAATCAGAGGTCACCTTTGCCACGATTGGTTGGTTTTGTTATGAACTGTTGCCACTTCGCTTTGCAATCTATACGCGATGATGAAAACAAGAGAGTGCCCGTCCTATGTCCGGTCTGTCGAAAGTGAAAGTGGACCCTATGTCCGGTCGTTTCCAGAAATTTGATATATTTTTAATGGCGTTTAGAAAATCGCTAAGAAACCTAACCTAACCATTAGTTTATGTTATAAATTATACATAACATAAAACCTCAAGTTGTTGATTGTAGTTTGTTTCTTGGAAAGAAGAAAGTGAAAAATGGAGCCAGAAACTGTAAGTAAATAGTATAATTATGATTTAATTTATCGAGTAGTAAACATTCACGTCCACAAATGTATTATTTTTGCTGTAAAAGATAAATGCGCGGGGACGCGGTATTTCGCGCCACTTTGTACAAAACTTACTAAGCTTTAATTTATTTGTTTGTAGAATAAAACCAAACCTCTTTCGAAGGAAGAGACGAAAGTACTGCTCTCCTTAATTGAGGGGAGCAAGATTATAAATAATAAAAAAACAAACGCCACAAGCAATAAAATAAAGGTCGAAGAATGGACACGGATTGCCGGTGTTTTCAACGCAAACATTGGTACATGTCGCCGTACACCACAACAACTGCGTCTTAAATGGGAAAACTTAAAGAAGAACTCATGAAAACGCAGTACTTTAATACGAAAGGAACGGATCAAGGTAAATAATTAAGTTTAAAATTGACATGATTGTATGTTTATGTTGTATTCATAATTAACGTGTTGAATTATGTCATATTATGTTCCAGACTGGAGGTGGGCCACCAGGGTACTTTCCTCCTGATGACGTACTGGATAGGGTGGCAGCATTACTGGGCAGCACTGGAGAGGGTCTCACAGAGAGGTTTGGTGGTGATGCTGAGCCCCAAATGATTGGTGATGGTGACGGTGACGGGAGTGTAGAGACCTTTATTGTGCTGGTTGATAATAGCATGTCTCCAATGCTATTGATTGATAGTCCATTGCCTATCAACAATTCTTATACAGCAGTGTCCATGGGCAGTGAAGTGCCAGTCAATAGCCTTGGAGATGAGTTGGTGACGGTGCAGAACAATATTAGTACTCCAGTGGTACCAAAGGAATAAAAAAAAATTTTACAAAATAAAAAAACCGCCTTCAAAAAAAGTCAAGCAATAAAAGTTCCTACACTAAAAAGTAAAAAATAACAATTTGAATTACTGTAAAAAAACTTAATTTATAGGTAAACTTATTTGACATTAATATTTTGCAAATATTCAAAATTTATTACTTATTTTTGGAGTCGGTGCCAGCATTTTGATGTTGAAACTTAATGTTAGTTAGGTTTTTAATATCCGGTGCCATTTTTCGTACATAATGCTTAAACATTTTCAATGTACTTAAAATGTTTTTGTAAGTACATATTTTTTATTTAAAAAAATGTGCAAATCGGACATTTTTTGTAGAGAAGTCTAATCTGTATTTATGTCTTAATTAATATACCTATATTTGAGTATGCAAATAGGTATTAAGTAGTTTTATAATTAAGTAAGAGGTAGTTTTTCAAGGGATTGTTGCCCATTTGTATTTCCTTGCATGGGCTGGCACCGACTCCAAAAATAAGTAATAAATTTTGAATATTTGCAAAATATTAATGTCAAATAAGTTTACCTATAAATTAAGTTTTTTTACAGTAATTCAAATTGTTATTTTTTACTTTTTAGTGTAGGAACTTTTATTGCTTGACTTTTTTTGAAGGCGGTTTTTTTATTTTGTAAAATTTTTTTTTATTTGTAGCCGTTTAGTGTTTTTTTTTTTTATTATAATGTGTTATGGCAAAGAAGTCAATATCGTTCCTACATTTCTTTTGAAAAAGTTACCAATGTCATACTTATACGTAGAAATACATATCATAGTACATTGTTACTGTGTAATCGTTTTGATCTCGAGGAGAGATGATATGATGCATGAGATACTTATGACTTATAGTTAAAATAAAATAATAATCTTATCATAAATTCATATTAGTTCTCGCCAAATAACAAAAAACTAGATATTTTCATCAACAGACAGATAAAGTTCAAAGATACCAAATGCAATCTAATTTAGTATCTATGATTAAATACATTCGTACATAGAAAAAAGACCGATGCAATTATTGTTTTGTATCAATTGTAACCCATTAAATGAAGAATACTATTTTGTTATTACTAAGAACATTCATATATAGACAAGTTGGTAAAAATATAAAAGACCATCGCTATTGTAAATATACATTTATGACTCATTCAATGTATGAACCTTTTTTAAGTAAGTATTATCTACATATGTGCACACAAAAGAAACACAATTATTGTTTTGTACGACGCAATTATTGTTTTGTAACCCATTTAAAACGACTGTTTTGTTAAAAATGCCAATTAATTCTCTTAGCCTATTACCAGGAAAACGATAAGAACACAATGACGCATTTCACCACTAATGTGTAAACGCAGTCCACGTGGACTAATGCAAAATAGCCAATACTAGGCCAAACTCCGCCCCCAAAGGTGTGCGGTCCCGCTCTAGAACCTTTCGGCCCCATCGGCCATCTGTTCTACGAGCAATGTGCCGTGCCCACTGTCACTTAAGTTTGGCATTTCTTCGGGCTATGTCGGTGACGCTGGTTCTTCTGCGGATTTCTTCATTTCTGATTCGAACATGCACGGAAACTATGAGCATAGCCCTTTCCATTGCTCTTGACAGCTCTAATAAGCTTACACAATACTAGGCCCCATGCCAACCTTCCAGCTTCATCATCACATCAGTTCAATAGTACCTTACAGCCAAAGTGCATCTTATAACAATTCTAACAAGCCCAAACACGGCTAGGATATATTAATTAGGTACGCAGTTCCAGTGCCTACCTTCCAGCTCCATAATCATCATTAAATCAGTTCGATGATAACATTTCCAACATAATTATTTAAGATCATTGGTTTACAGTGCATTTTCATAGTTGCTGAACTACCTTGATTGTGATATCTATGCGAGTGTCAAGTTTCATCATCCATTTCTGATCTTCTTCACCAGTTCCACCTCATCAAACATTACTTTTTGACTGTAAATGCTTGAGTGCTCTATGAAAATATTAAAATTACTATATAGTTGCCTATAATATTTGAGGAGTTCCCTCGATTTCTCATGGATCCCATCATCAAAACTTGATTTTGAAAAGAATGGGACCAATCTGGAAGCATATCCTTTCAATCATAAAAAAAATTTTGCAAATCCGCCCATAAACGACGGAGTTCTGAGGTAACAAACATAAAAAAAAAAAATAAAAAAAAAAAAAAAAAAAAAAATACAATCGAATTGAGAACCTCCTCCTTTTTTTGAAGTCGGTTAAAAAAGGAATTTTAGAGCTAGTGGTAATATCCTACTAATTTGTTAAAAAAAAATTGTATGTGTGGATGTTTGTTATTCTTTCACGCTAAAACTACTGTATGGATTTTGATGCAACTTTATAGTAATATAGACTTATATGTACATCAGAATAACACATATGCTACATAACATCACGCTATGTCCTACGGGAGCAGAGAAGTGGTGGAAACCGCAGGGGGCAGCTAGTACATAATATGTGAAACTTTATGTTTGTTACTCAATAAAACTTTAATAGCTTTTTTTTTTGTTTTACAGGTTGTATTAAACGGAAACTCCTGAAGCCAGATAATGGGTCTCAAGCTCGAAATATTGCATTAGCTGAATATTATAGTGTTAAGAAAAAATTGTTAGAGAATAAGTTTGAAAATGTTAAGTTAGAAAATGAAAAATTAAGATTAGAGATAAGGAAGCTGAAGGGAGAGGATTTCTAGAGTAATATTTTTGTATGTAAAACTAGTATTAATTTGTCCATAAGTTTGTAATGTCCTATATTTTATAATAAATCACTAATTAAACAATTTTGAAATGTTAAATATGGAATATTTTATTTCCTGAAATTATCATTGTTTATTCATTTGAAACTAATAGTAAGTATACTTAAGAATAAAGATGGAGTGGTAATAATAAAAATCTAATTAAAGCAATGTACAAATTATCTCAAGACAGACAAAAAAAAATGATTGCAAAATAAATAGGTAATAAGTACTTATTAAAAATAATTTAAAATTAATCCTTGTCTATGTCTGATATCATTATGAATACTGTCCGAATTTTCTGATGTCACAGTAATTTCACTTTCTTCTGGCATTTCTACTTCTGGGGGTACTTCTTCAATATTATAATTTCTGCAGATGTTGTGAAGAACAGCTGTAGCTATTATAACGGTTTGTATGTTGTGTAATGACAACCGCATGGTCAATGATATGACTGGGAAGCGACGTTTCCAGACTCCAAATGTCCTGAACAAACACGTACACTTTTTAATAGATTTGGTTAATAAAATAAAAATAAATAAATGGTCTCATGAATTAGTACTTAATCTTATATTGTAGTACCTATAGTGAAAGCTTTAATGGTGATTTTACCTTTCAATTGTGTTTCTAGTTTTTATGTGTGCCTCATTGTATCTTATTTCCTGGCTAGTTGATGGATTTAGCAAAGGTGTGAGCAAGTAAGGCCTGTTTGGATAGGCACTGTCCCCAAGTAACCAACGATTTCCTAAAATACCATCTTCACACTGGGCTGCATCTTCACATTTAACTATTATTAATAGTTAAATACATCAGAACACCATATTATTTTTATGATATTAGAAGAGACAATAAACCCAATATTACCTCTTAATACTGAATTATTAAAAATAGTAGCATCATGAGCTGAACCAGGCCACCGAGCAACAACATTCAATAACTTAAGGTCTGCATCACAAACGGCTGAAAAGTATCCTTTCCTATTTCTAAATTCCTCTCCTATTGTTGAACCTGAAATACAACATACTCATTTCATTTATGTTGCAAATGTATGAGAACTTTCTAAATAATTAAAAACCTACTTAAGCAAATTGCCAATTCTTAATTAATAACAAATCTAGAGTTGGATACTTACATGGAGACTGAATGTGTACATGTGTACAGTCAATAGCACCACATACTCTTGTGAATTGAGCTATATTATGAAATTTATCTGTAGTTCTAGAATGTAAACAAATGTATTTGTTATACAATCTAGCGATAGCAGCAGATATGTCTGCCACTATCCTACAAGCTGACGATAAGGACACTCCAGCAAAGTCGGCCACTGAATTAAGCATTGTCCCCAATGCATAAAATCGAAGTGCCAATAAAAGTTGATGCAATGGTGGTATACCATTATTTCTGAAAATGATAAATAAGTACTATAGTTAGTTAGGTATCCGTTTCTAATTTAGGCTATGTTTATATATTGAAGACATTGAAGTAATGTTAGCAAACAACTTACCGTCTTGATTTCACTTTGATATAGGGCATTATTTCATTTAAAACAGATTCAACTGAAGATTTATTCATTCTGAATCTGAATGTGAACTCTGCGTCAGTTAAACTTGCCATGAAGTTAATTCGTCGAAAAGTTTTTGAGGACACGGCAGTCTCTTGTTCGCTGTCGGTACTATCCCAATCCGATAGCTGAGCTAATACTTCAAGATCACTATCACTATCACTTGAAAATAATTCCATTTTCACGTCTTATAACAAGTTTACGCATGCAATCGGTCAAAAGTTGAGGATCGAAAATTACGATCAATAATATTCAAAAATCGATTTGTCAAAATTAGAGTTTGGATATAGAATACGCAAAACTGTCACTTTCATACAAATACTAAACTAAAAATCCAATTCATTGATCGGTTATTGAAATACTAAAAGTAGGAAATGGATTCAAATATCAATCTCGATCCGCAAATTAGGGATTGGGATTGAATATAGAAAGCGGCCGTATCTCATCTAGCGTCTATCTTTTGTTTCGTTTGCGATGTTGCCGCTCCGCAGCATCGGTGTACTTTCCGCGGCATTTGTTGATCTCCCAACGTTTATATTGATCAACAATGTCACACAAAGTGTAAAATAAATGGCGGTTACAAAATCAACAATTGCCGTGTGAGTTGGTGACGAGCTAGAGTGTTTGCGGCGTAGTTAGGCACTGGGTTGCTATGAGGGGAATACTTATATTCGTAGTTTGGCACGATATTATCAAAATTATCTAAGCTACAAGCTTCTAAAGGTGGATCAACATTTAATGCATATTTCGGCCTGATCAACATTTGCCGTAGAGCGGACAATATATATATATATATACATACATAGAACTATACATAAATACTTAGATCTCTATATCGTCTATCAAATCTAGATTTGGTGTAAACTGTTAAGATTTTTTTGTAAATTTATCAGTTTAACTTACAAAAATGCAAATGTATTTCATTTATGACATTAATCTCCAATCTAAGTGTTACCAAGATCAGAAAGCGATATTCTTCGGCCCAGCTGATGGTACTGGGGGGACTTTAACTTTTATTACGAGAAGCGAGAGTTCTCTACTAGTACAGTGACTGCGCTGAATGGCGTACCAACCGCAGATATGACGATGACAAGACACTGAAGCACGCACTTGGTATGGGACGATGCAAGGAACTGTAAGGCTGACGACACTAATCATAAGAGAGCTTGTAACCGGGCTGCCAAGTCATACAATAAGGCATTACGTAACAGTTAATCAACCGTTAAAAAATGAGGATGTTGCTAAATCTAGCAACACCCTCATTTTTTACTGCAGGGAGAGACGTTGAGAGAATTGCTGAACTAAGCGCAAGTTTGTAGTAGTTTTTTTTAGTGTGTAGTTGAAGTTATCTAACTACTTCTCTTATCATTAAGACAAAGGCGTGGCAAGATGCTCATCAACGATGATGCACTTATGGAGAACCGGCTTCAAATTTCGAACAGTTGCGCAGTTTCAGTTATTTTTTTATTGGATACTAGATAATCTCGCGCGCTTTCACCCGCTGCTCGTCTCCATTTGATCGTAGCGTGATGTTTTATAGCCTATAGCACGCAGAAACATTGTAGCTATCTACCAGTGAAAGAATTTTGGCAAGCCGACGAGCATTTCTAAAGATTACCCCCTACATAGAAACTTACTTTTACTTCTTTATAATATTATAGATTATAGACATAGATTATAGATATGTATATGTAGATTATAGACACTGCGCTAGATAGACAGGTTCCAAATCGAATTTACTTTGCAGTAATGCAATTTATTTTGAACTTATCTCGGAGCAAGGAAGCCTTATTATCGCTTAACATTGGGTTTGATCAAATTCTACAGTGACCCATTTCCAATTTATAAAATATCCGTGGCATCGCCGTCGCCCTTAGTGTGCGCACGCTTCGCACACAGGTTCTGCCCTGTCTGACAAGATGTTTGTCTTCTCCATGAGCATTCGGGGCCAGCCGAAGTTTAAGAGTTTTTTTATGTTATAGGTCGGCAAATGAGCAGACGGATTACCTGATGGTAAGCAATCAGCGCCGCCTATGGACACTCGCGACGGAGGAGTTACGAGTGCGTTGCCGACCTTTTAAGGATTAGGGATTTGGAGATTTAGGGATTTAGGGAGGGGAAGGATTGGGCCTCCGGTAACCTCACTCACACGGCGAAACACAACGCTGTGGTTGTTTCACGCCGGTTTTCTGTGAGGCCGTGGTATCACTCCGGTCGAGAGCTTTGGAGTGTTTTTCAACGCAGTTGTAAAAAGCTTGACTTACTTACCTCCGAAAAATAATATTCGTTGTCGTATGGTGTAAACATGCTCGGCCTTTCTTTATAGTTGTAAATGAATGCAAATTTGTGATTGATTCTCTGCCTAGGCTCCGTGTTTGAATAGAAGCTAATGTTTTCATAATTAATTAATTTAAATAGATCTTTGTATTTTTCTTGTAACCTCCGACGAATCACTTCACATTTTTTACATAAACCGTTCATATTAATGCAGTGTTCAGGAGGGCAACATTTTTGTATACACCATTTGTCAGAACAATATTTATTGAAATCGATAGTATTATTATTTAGGTCTCTGTAGTCGTCTTTAAACTGTTCTTTATAGTTATTCTTATCCGCACATTTTGATACACACAACACTAATAAAAACGAAAGGATTTTGAGTAGAAGCATTTTTTAATTCACATTACTGATTTAACAGTTGATAAGTTATAAGTCGGCGGAAACACTGCCAACATCTACGGAATATAAATTACATTTATTGTAGTTTCCTGTTAGAACTTAGGTACTTACTATGCATAGTTAGGTAGTGAGTGTGTGAGTGAGGCTGATGGTGGTTTTCCTCCAAACAACAAGAAACTTTATTGTACTATTAATAATGATTTGTTTTATAACATGAAATGTATTTTCTAAATAACTATCAAGGTGTGATTAGTGATCGATACTGTTGCTACTGATGAGTGATCGATAAAAATGCAATCAGTAAAATTTTTGTCTGTCTGTATGTTCCTTATAGAAACAAAAACTACTCGACAGATTTTAACGAAACTTGGTACAATTATACTTCATAATCTTGGGCAGATTAAAGTATACTTTTTAATCACGTTGCAATTAATAGGAGCAGAGCAGTGAAAGGAAAAGTTGGGAAAACGAGATAAATTACTCTATTTTTTATCTTCCGACGCGTGTGCAGCCTTAATGGTTAAAGTTACACAGAAATTATGTATAACCAAAATGTTTTGCATAAAATTATCTAAATAATATCCCACAACAGCATATGTCTATCTTTTATGGTAGACTCGCAATAAAAGGTTAAATCCTGATAGCTTAGCAGTTCGGAGCATTCTGATTCTGTTTGTGTACCTACCCTTACATTTATAACTATCTCACTCATTCCTTATTTTAAAAAGTTAAAATTATTACCTATTATTTTTACCTAGTTTATTTTATTTGTAAAGCGATAATGACTATCAATATTTCAAGACCATAATTGACTAAGGCCGTCCAGACTTTTCTGAGTTTTAATGAGATTCACATCATCAGCCTATGCCACAGCTTCTCAAAGCCGTTTACTCACACGGAGAAGGCTTGATCATTAATAACCACGATTGGTCGAGGAGGATAGGTGATTTAAAACTTAATTGGATTTTTTCCAATTATAAATTTCCTCACGATATTTTCCTTTTACTGTTTGTCTGTGGTGTCTAAATTATATTAGATATTACGTATTACTTCGAACGTTATACGAGTATTAGCACTTGTCAGGTTTCGAAACCGCACCCTTATGTGAGAGAAGCGGGTAGTAACAATTTATTTTTTATCGTGGATTAATACGTTAAGAAGCTCATGATCTAATATGACTAGAACTTTGGTTGAACGCTTTCCAGGAACAATTAGTAGTTTTAATATAAAGAAGATTGTTGGACAGTTAAGTTATCGAGTAATTCTATCGACTACACAACATCAGGCAACGACCAAAAGGATACCAGCAGAGGGTAAAGCAGAGCAGGAGTAGCTAATATAAATTTATTTTATTGTTTTTTTTTTTCTCGTGCAATTTAAAAGCATGTAGCATTTATGTTTCAAACAGTCGCGTTGTTAAATACCCTGTAATCCTAAGGAAAAAAGTATTTAAAATGCAAAAAAATATAATCTTATAATATTTATGTTAACAATTTATTTGTAGTATTATTACGGAAAATTGATAATTTTAAGAAATCAAATGAAACGATCATCGATTAGGTCAACGACTGCCACTAGTTCAAGACGCGATTTTATGGCGGAACGACAGCACCCTCTTAACTGGCTCACTGTTACAGCAGGGGTAAGAATCCTCTTTGAGGATCGGCTAGACCGACTCCACGGCGTCCCCGTCTTCCGTTTGACGCGGGTGCTTCCCGGGCACGGTTTTGGGAGGTACCGGTTTCGGATCTAAAGCGAGGAAACGCCAGGGTGTCGTTACTATGAGGAACACCGGTGGCGGTGTGCTCTGTTTGGGTTGAGCACCATCATGTCCTCGGGCAAGTGATTGGCGACGACGATCTCTTTGCGACTTGCCTTAGTAGAGGCACAGTGCAAATGTAATTGAGGAGCTGTCTCGTTTTGCGGCGAAGCAAAGAAGCAAGCCTCATAATGTACCGAAGGTCCGCTCCTGCTGGCCCTGTGGTGGAGAAGGTATGGGATGGTTTTTAGTCAGTAAAGTTCTGATCCTCCCTCTCGCCCCACCCAGTACGAAGAAGATATTTGACGAGTTTCCCCCTCAAAAAATTTGTCGACGTGACTCTCAAAGTTTATTCAGAAATAGAAAACTCACGCCACTATATGTTTTTCAAAAAGTTGGCGCTGTATGTGAAAAACTGAAAACAGAAAATCGGGAAAACATCCCGATTTTCTGTTGAAATTTTTCCCGAATTTTCTTTGCTAGAAGCCCCACCAAGCCCGAGACCTTTTCAACGAATGCAAAACCGTGGAAATCGGTTCGTGAGTTCTGGAGCTATAGCGACAGGAAGGAAAAGCCGACTTATTTTATATAGTAGATTATTTAAACTTTTAATTATTATTTATAAACTCAACCCTATGTATCAAAATGTGATTTGAAATTACCAATCCGCCTTGAACAAGCGTGATTGTAAATTTTCGACCTATTTCTGTGTGAGAAGAGTCCTTTGCTTCGTTCCTTCTCCTTTTTGGGGCCGGCAGGAGAAGAAACACAACTAAAGATCTGCGAAGTTAATTGCTACATTTTCACTATCATCAGTTGCCAGTAAATGTAACAAGTAACAAACAGATCAATATTATTTTCCTTACACATCGTTGAGTATGGAATATACGAGGAAAAGTATTGTTGTTGCTAATTTGTTTACCATACAGACTTTGACGTCGTTTATAATTTTCCATTTAAATTGGATCAATATTTATCAGACTTTAATTATAATATTTAGCCGTACCTAAGTGGTGTACCTGGATGCGGAAAAACGAGTTGGATAGTGGAACAATTTCAAGCGGATGGAGATTTTATTGTCACCACTACAACTAAAGCAGCCAACGACCTCAGAGGAAAACTATCCTGTCGAATTGGGGGATTAGTAAAATTGAGGGTGCGAACAATGGCGTCCATCTTGGTAAACGGCTTGGAGGGGCGTGGGAGCTGTCGTCGACTTATGGTGGATGAGGCTCTCATGAACCACTTTGGGGCCATTGTAATGGCCGCCCGATTAACTCAAGCTAAGAAAGTTCTGCTTGTCGGTGGCATGAATCAGCTCTCGTTCATTGATCGAGACAACCTCTTTCCTCTCGTCTACAGCCGCCCTACACTTATCACATCCATAAGCCAGCAATTGCTGTGTACTCACAGAAACAACGGACCAACGGACGTGGCATATGCTCTTAATACAATATACAGCGGCATAATACTCGTCCAAGTTTAGCGTGAGATCCCTTAAGACAAAAATATTCCCAGGAGCAATGATTCCAGATACTTTATATCTGGTACACACACAGGTAGAAAAGGAAACCCTTAAGAGCAAGGGATACGGGTCAGGCGTGGGATCACGCGTCCTCACTGTACACGAGACTCAGAGTCTTTCGTGTGCGACAGTGGTTATTGTAAATACGGCAATTCAGAGGCAAAAAATACATGATAGCGTACCACACGCGGTATCAGTTGTATCTACTACACTGATAACAGTGACGACGCTATAAGCAAGCTAATCAGAAGGGCGGCCGACGAGAGCGAGCATAAATCTGCAGCGTGAAATGTGTGCGGGACTTCCACAAAAGGGTTGCAATGATATTTTATAACGTAATGTACCAAATAACGATTAGTACTTAATTAACAAATTAACTTATGACGTGTTGTAAGCTCTTGCTGGAGTCATTATCGTCGTAAGCTTAAAAATGACCTAAAGTCGGCGGCGCTGAGTTGTTTGGCTGCTAAAAAGTGGATAATCGGATGGCTGATTGCTGGAGCAGGCCGGCTCACCCAACGTGTTGGTGGGCTGACTCGGCAGAGCCTTCGATAAAAATGTAATGTGAATTAGACTGTATTATTGTCGATATTTAAATGTAACATATAATTCTTCTATAAAATACTTAATTATGTGGTTAGTTGTATTATTTAAGTATTTAATTTTAGTAATCTTTACTGGATATTGTTTGACAAGGGCACGGATCCCGAGTCCGTGGAGATTGTAAATGATCGTAAAAAAACCGTATCTAAATTAGTAATGTTATACAATATAAATAGATATAGAAATATAGGAAATAGGATTATAGGAAAATTAGCTTCCGCCCGCGGCTTCGCCCGCGTGATACGTTGATAATAATTTTTAATAAAAATAATCCGACTTCAAAAAGTAAACTAAAAAGCAAAATATAAATTTTCTTTGTAGAAATTAATACATGTTTTCATTTAGTTAAATAGAAAATAATATAAATAACCATTTTATAATCTTGAATTCGGTGCCCTAGCAAGGAAAGCAAAAATAGTTTTAAGATTACCTATAAGTATAGGTACCTATTGTTAGTTTGATGATTAGGAGGTACCGATCAATATATTTTACTAATATTGTTGTTGATTGGTATGACTTGGATGATTCACTTGGCACCGAACTTCAAGATTATTTAATGTTATTTTATTTTATGTTTTTCTGAATAAAATATTAGTATTACACTGTTCTCACATAATCGAACCAACTTTTTTATTTAAAATAAAACGTTGAGTTGGATTTTCTCCTGTATCGTGGGTGCCTTTACAAATATACAATTTCACATACTCAGCCGGAAAAACTATTTGTGTATCACAAAACGTGTTGTTCGGTGCGGGAGTCGAAGCCGCGAAACGTTGCGCGGCAGCCAATTGCCCAGCCACCGCGCGATCCTTGCAGTAGTTGCAGTCAAATTACTTATTAATGAATCAAAGAATCTATATGTGAAACTGATTTTAAAAGAGTAACTATATACTATATAGTTTCTTGCATAATATTGATTATGACCCTTCGCAATGCATCGTGCCGCTAGCGCCCCGCGCCCCGCGCTCCCGCCCTTCCGTTACCGTGGCAACACCTGAGCTCAGCTCGACGCATCCCGGCCAACCGTCCGGCCGGTACGTCCGTGAACGTAGATGCATCTATACTTTTTTTCATTATGAGATAGTTTGGCAAACGAGCCGATGTATTAGCTGATGGTAAGCAAGTAAGCAACACTAAAAGAGTTAAGAGTGCGTTGCTGACTTTTTGGGGATAATTGTATTTGAAAATATCTTTAATTTCATTTAATTTAAAGAAATTAAGACTATATTTTGTAGTTTTATTCCATTACTGCTACCTACTATATCGTATACCTCTACAAAGGTGTCTATGATGAAGAGAACTCGTTCAAAATATAGCCTTTATCATCCTCACATCACACAGCTGAGGAGGAGAAGGAACGGGAGTTTAGTCAATAAGAGTCTGACTCTCAGAAGTCATTTGATAATTTTTCCCTGACAAAAAACCTCATATACATTTTTATTATAATTTTCTTGAGACATAATAAATTAATGACTATTTTTTGTGGTTTACTCACGTAATTGTTTGACAGTAGCAGCGTGGAATTCGCCGCGTCGCGTGTCTCGGAATGCTGCTTATGAATATGAGCCTCCAGCATGGCTTGAAACTAGTCGAGCATCTCGTCAAACAATTACGTGAGTAAACCGCAAACATTATAATTAACTCATATACATTAAAACAAATTATGATTAAATCAGCTTAAAAATGGGGCAACGTTTAAAAAAGAAAGTTTACGCGAATTTTTACGGTACGATACAATAGCAGTGCACACTAGATCTTAGACACAAACATAATAACTACTTAAGATATTAAGTAAACAATTGAGTTATTGAAATTATTGAGGATACTACTACCCTTCCCATGGTCATGATTGAAATTAATACAATTGATAAGATTCTCTAAATTTATTACAATCAAAACATAAAAGAAATTGTATGAAGTAATTTGTTGACGTCATTTTTTAACTTTACGTATTGCTGGTTTCATTGCATCTCTCTCACGCTGCTAATATTCTGGTTAACAGGAGTTGCAGGGCTTTTTCGTTTAGCATAACTTCCGCGTACAAATATAATTATTATGACGACTCCTAGCAGCCATTTATTAGTAGATACAATTCCGAACAGCTTCATAACCGACAGACTATATGCATTCGCAGCCTCCGAAATCGTCATGAACGTCAATAGTTTCATGTTTTGCGATAAACTGTAAAAGAACAACAAGTTTGTTATTTAGTGTAAGAAGTAAATTATTTTGACCAGAAAAGTGGGCGGGGAAAGGACTCGTCGATGCAGCCCAATATGCTAGTCCAATCTTTGACTGCACGGTTGGCGCGGTGGCTGGGCAACTGGCTTCCGCGCAACGTGCCGCGGGTTCGATTCCCGCACGGAACAACTCTTTGTTTGATCCTCAGATTGTTGTTCCGGGTCTGGGTGTGATGTGCATGTGGAATTGTATGTTTCTAAACGCACCCACGACACAGGAGAAAATCATAGTGTGGGGCAACGTTTAAAAAAAAAACTGCTCTAAACTCCACTATCCACAATGCTTTCCACATCACCAGCGATAGAATAATCTGGACGAAGATCGGGCGGGAGGGTCATGGTAAGCGATGCAAAAAGCTGGTGACGCTCAGCCATGAGGAATGTGACGCAAGGAAGAGGAGTCAATTTTAAGTGTGGGAGAGTGTGCTTCGGCTATCCAGAGCCGGCTCGACCGGAGTGATAACACGGCCTCACAGAATACCGGCGTGAAACAGCACTTACGTTGTGTTTCGTCGTGTAAGTGAGATTACTGGAGGCCCAATTCTTCCCTCCATATCCCCAATCCCCAAATCCCCTATCTCTAAATACGTGATAACCCACAAAAGGTGTTAAGACTGTCCAGGGGCGGCGCAGATTGCTTATCATCAGGTAAATTATTCGTATTTAACAACTTATCTTAAAAAATGGATGAAGAAATAGAGAAAAAGAGACAGAGATATCAAATCAGATCAAATCAAAATCATTTATTCCAACTAAACCATAAATAGGTACTTTTGAAACGTCAAATAGAATAGTAGTCTGTCAGTCTGTTCGTCAGTGAAGCTAGGTTCAGGTTATATAGAAAAGAAGCGAAGAATTTATCTATACATATATACCTTAAAACATCGTATTTGATCGCGTCATTGTAAGTCATCGGAAGACCCCCCAAAAATCCCTTGTAAGCCTTTGGTATCAATACAATACAAATAAATATATTGTACAACAGCATGATCGACCCGGGAATGTAAATGTACAATATCACCTCCTTTCCTGAAATGATAGAAGAAAGATGAATGTGTGTGTGTGTCAATGCGTCGTATTGGCCTGGAACTCAAAGGTTTTTTTTTTTAAATGTTCGAAAAGTTGGCTGGATTTACCTAATTTTGGTTTCCGGAGGCCTTATCCATCTCCCCCATCCAGTATCGTCAAATACGCCACTATTGTAGTAAATCCTTTCCTATTTTGAGTGTCCATGGACGGCGCCGATTGCTTACCGCCAGGTAAACCGTGTGCTCGCTTGCCGACCTATCCCATTAAAAACATATTTAATACTAGCTACTCTCGCGCGGTTTCACCAGCTGCTCGGCTTCATTTGATCGTAGCGTGATGTTTTATAGCCTATAGCACTCAGGAACGTTATAGCTATCTATCAGTGAAAGAATTTTGAGAATCCGACCAGCGGTTCCAAAGATTACCCCCTACATACAAACTTACAAATTTTACCTCTTTATAATATTAGTACAGATACAGTTCTCCTTCCAAATGAAAAAAAAATATTGACACATTTGTCGTTTCATATTTACCTAAACATGTGCGTAAATATTTTAATTTAGGTGTAATAAACCACGGGATATGTGTCATGTCTCTAAAATCTATAATTAATATGCTTATAGTTAGAATCAGAGGAAGTCCAAAACCATACGCAGTGTACTTGATGTATTGTTTGAATTTATTTTGATGTGTATTAACAGAATTTCCTCCTGATCTGAAAATAAAATTAAATTATGATTAGTTTGCGGATATTTCATACACACTACTTTACAACTGGCCTCTGACAGCTACACTGATAGCTTTTTTTTGTTAAGGGAAAATTATCAAATGACTTCTCCCGCCCAGTGCCGGGCAGGAGGGAGTGTCAGACTCTTACTGACTAAAAACCCCCCTGTTCCTTCTCCTGCTCTGTGCCGAGGTCCCGGTGCCTCATTGCGCTTACCCCGCAACCCCGGCTGAACATCAGCCCTTTAGGGCCCCGTCTGTGGTGGTCTAATGGCTCTTTGAGGCGCGCGCGGAACGCTACGCGCCATACGCTCGGGCCTGGTTCTGGTCGGGCGGCGAGCTGCCCTTATTCGCCGACCGCAGGCCCGTGTAAAATACAGCTTCAAATTATATTTTTTTATCCTTTCACTTTATCTAGCGCCACTTTGATCTGTGACAGGTTTTTGTCAAGTCACAGGTTGTGTCCGTTGTAGAAAAGTCAGTTGATGTCGTCGGTGTTGCGTAGGTCGCGGTTTCTTAGCAAGCCGAGTCGTTTTTTAACCGACTTCAAAAAAGGAGGAGGTTCTCAATTCGACGAGTATTTTTTTTTTAATAGTACGCCTGAATTCGATGATCGTTATCACCGCGATGGTTTATTGAGGGAGAAAATGATCTAATGACTTATCGGGACGGGCGAGAGGGAGTGTCACTCTTAATTATTAAAAACCATCCCGTTCCTTCTTCTGCTTCGGGCCGAGGCCGCGGTACCGATAAGCGATATTCTTTTTTTTTCGCATTTTTAAAACGTTGCGTTGTTGGTGCGGTTACAAACTTAAAATTTCACATACACATGACACCCAGACCTCGAACAACAATTTGTGGGTCACACAAAGAGTCTTTCCGTGCGGGAATCGACACGTTGCACGGCAGCCAGTTGCCCAGCCACCGCACCAACCGTGCAGTCAACATCGAATTCGCTGTGGTGATGTCCACAATCGATTATTTTCTTTGAAATACAAAAATTTGAATTGATCCAATTTATAAAAGTAGTAAACTGTACTGTTAATGTAAGTCATTTAGAGCGTTCGGCGAATTTTGAACTGAATATAATAAATTTAAATAATAAAGTGAAAACCTTTCTCGGTTATTCCCAAGTAAAATAATAGGTGCACTTACCTTACCGACTTCCATACATTATAGAACATCACATTGGTCAATGAAAAGCAGGTTAAATTACAAAAAATATGCAACGGTTCTGCAAAAAAAAAAAAAACATTGTAAGTAGCTTATTTTCCATAAAATAAATATGTAACGAATAAAATAAAATCAAACGGTTGTAACATAAATGTAATCTGATATTATGTATTTCCTTTCATCATCATCATCATTATCAGCCTATGAATGCCCACTGCTGAGCAAAGGCCTCTTCTCATACGGAGAAGGTTTGAGCATTAATCACCACGCTTGCTCAATGCGGGTTGGCGATTTCAAACTTATAATTAGAAATTACAAGTCCAGGTTTCCTCACGATGTTTACCTTCACCGTATGTCAGTGGTGTCTAAATAATCATAGAAAGTACATATAACTCGGAAAAAGTCACATTGGTACTTGCTAGGTTTCGAACCCACACCCTCATGCATGAGAAGCGGGCGCCTTAACCTCCGGGCCACCACGACAATAATAACTTAAAACTCACGTGTACGAATTTTGCATCGCTTGCAACCTATAATTAAGTGCTACGCAATATTGATTTATTATGGGTTTTGTATTAATTAGTTTTTGGGTATTCTAATTTGGTTGTTATGATGACAGAGTGCTTCCGTGTTGGAAAGTCATGCTTCGGTCGAGCCGACCGGAGCGATACCATGGCCTCACAGAAAACCGGTGATAACAACCACTGCGTTGTTTCGTCACGTGATTGAGGTTATTGGAGGCCCAATCCTTCTTCCCTTCCCTAAATCTTCCTAACCCTCATCCCCAAAAGACCGGCAACTCGTAAAGATACGGTAGTTTCCAACTAGTCAAATTCAATACTTTTACCCAAACGTCAAAAACGATACTTTTCTATGAAATTTGTATGAAAAACTGAGTTGTTGTACGAAAAATTTAAAACTTAGTTTATCGATAGATGAATAAAAGTATATTTATTTTTCTATATTTTATTGTATTGAAACGACGAATTAATTTATTTTTGACCTAGGAAACTACCCAATCCTGGTGTTGCGTGCGTCGTAGATGTATTCAAAAAAAAAAAAAACGACGTAAAGGGAAACATAAAAAAGTATGTAAAATGTAGGTACTGTCTCACCTAAAATTAACCTATTAAACCCGAGATGCATAGGAACAAAGTGATGTATGAATTCTATAACATTTTTTCCAATGAAGCAGCAGATTAAAGTCATCACTAACATTCCGTTGAGGTCCCGAAAATGTGAGCGGATACAATAAATCACCAAGACATATGCCAGCAGTACCATGCCCAGTGGCAGCGCTAAAACATTTTACATACATTCCATTAATTAACAAAACATTTTTTTTATATTATCAAGTCAGAATTTGTGATTAACAATATTGACTAATAAGTGAGTACATTACCAAAGACTCGGTAAATATTTGAAGTTATAGATTTCTCCGGTATTTCTTCATCATTAACAACTCCATAGAAAACGATTTGTCTACGTATATTAATGTCTACACAAAAGTGATTCACGTCAATTCTATAGAATCTATTGAAGTCATTTGGTATTTCAGTGATTAGGTTCCCATCCTGAAAATATGCGTCAAAGTGAAAGTCAGTAACATTTATTACAACTAAACCATAATCAAAATCGTTCGTCAGTAAATCTGCGTGACATGCTCGTTCCAAACTGTAGATTCGAATGGAGAAATTCCATCGTTACTCTATAAGAAATATATTTTACCACCTCATAAATAACTTATTTAATACACATAGTACATATGGGATCAATTCCTCATCATAAATTAATTTTAATGCATTTTCCTCTCAAACATGGCGGTCATATATGCATACTGATAATCTGAAAGAATGCTTCTACACAACTCGTAGTTTCAGTAATAAAAGAAACGTCGAATGTAATAAAGCAATCAATGTATTAAATCCTTCTTGGAATTTCAGCACCATTTTTTTCTGTTATTGTTTACTTGAGTATTTTAGTAATTGTTTATGAGCCGAACCAACATGCTGTCATGTTGATTTATGATCCTCAATATGATTGTAATCTGTCAGTTTGTTTTATGCTTGTTTGCATAATTGGCGATTAAGATGAATTTCCATATTCATTTGATTAAAACTCAATATAGTACATGGTATTTTATTATCACATATTCACATATTACATTATTATATTATTGATACTAAAATTCGGATCGGAATTACGTCTAATGTTTCTTTTTTCAAATATTTTTAATCTTACATTAATAATACTTTCGGTTTTAAATTAACACGGTACGGCACGGTAAGGATATTTATCATTTTAATTAGTTCTCTCAGATTCGCGATGGGGTAATATATATATTGCTCAGGAAACGCTTACCTCTAATAAATATGTTTTAAATAATATATTTAAATTGAATGAATTCATTCTGAAGTCTAGATTTGAAAAATGATTCGGAACTAAATGAAGTGTATCTTGGAGAGTTTTATCAGTTCGTTGTAGGCTCTTATCATATATTAACACTTTATTTAGCTGATCGTCTATTTTTTTGTTACGATATATATTTTTTTTAACATGTATCATTAGTCTTAATTGTTTTCCGAACGGACCACATTTCCACACACACACTTTAGTAGTATTTATACAATTTCTGGTAATATTTCCATAATCGAAAATTTTGTGAGTTTTTGGCACCGGTATGTTGTTTTCGAGCATCAGTTGGGCCACACGTTGGCCGTGATTGTATGACTCTACATCACTAATTAATACTATTAATGTAACTGTTGTAAATATTGACACAAGTATTCTCATTATGATTACTTGAAAACAACTGACGACGGAATAGTTTACGTATAGTGACTTAGTTAGATGAATCATAGCGTTCTAGTAATTAATACTAATATGGATAAAGTTTAGGTAGTTAGTTTGTCCTATAGGAAATCTACAGGGAACATAAATTATTATTAAATAAATAGATAAATCATAAGTAGCTTTATTCTTTTGAGCTTTGTACAAGTAACTTTGGTAATGACTAGACCTAGTTTATCAACAGGTACCTGAATGTTTTGAAGATTGCTTCACAAATTCTTTTTTTTTTGGGGTTTTTTTTTGTGAGGGGAAAACCATCGAATTACTTCTCCCGCCCAGGGCCGGGCGGGAGGGAGTGTTAGACTCTTACTGACTAAAACCCCCTGTTCCTTCTCCTGCTCTGAGCCGAGGTCGCGGTGTCTCATTGCGCTTACCCCGGCTAAACATCATCCCTGTAGGGCTTGGGTGTTTTTTTGAGGGTGGAATTTCAACACATGACCTCTGCCATCCTGGTTGGAATTATAATACAAAGATTCCATCAAGATGTAATAAATATATTCGTTCGTTTTAAACTCTAAAAGTACTGTACAAAAAAGCTTGACACGTAATAAAATCTGAAGGCGGTAGATAGTACATACTTCAATTCTAATACATAACAACTAAAAATGACATCATATTATTATTATATTTCCTGTTTGGCTGGGTGAAGATGTTTATGTATTACCTACTGTTGGTTATGCGTTATGATTTAGGTATGCGTTGACCTCATATTATAAGGATAAATCAGAGACTTCTCGTTTCCCATAACCCCATAAGGAGGTAAGTTAGGTTAAATAAAACAACACGCAACATTTTTCAACTTAAAACACGGTTTTTTCAGTTGAAAATACTATGAAGTTTTTTGGGTATAATATAACATATTCTATGACGTACTCCTATTATTAAGCGGTTGTTGCGGTGGCTGCAGGTTCGATTCCCACACGGTACAACTCTTTGTGTGATCCACAAATTGTTGTTCCTGGTCTGGGTGTCATGTGTATGTGAAATTGTATGTTTGTAACCGCACCCACGACACAGGAGAAAATCATGTGGGGCAAGGTTTTTTTAAAAAATAAAAATATAAAGTTATTCAACAACTTTGTAGTTTTTCGTTTTTAAGCAAAAGAAAACACGTATTAGTTTTTTTGATGACGACAGAGACAATGTACAGTGTTATGAAGCGGGATATAACTGATGTTATCAATACCTTCTGAGACGAAATAAACAGGGAAGATAATACTTAGATACTATGTACATTCCCATGTGCTAACTCTTTCACAAAAAGTGAAATTAAAATAGAATCCATCATCTGAACAATAACTCAACATTTTCTCTGACCTATTGTCGTAGTGACAAATTATCATTTTCATTAAACGGTTTTATTTAGCTCGACCCGTACGCTGTTTTTTTTACGTACCTTGCTCTAAGTTGAGTCAAGTTTCTGGAATTGCTTTGTATTCAGGAATTAAATCCCCCAAGAAGAGAAGGATGAGAGACCCCATGCATCAATGATGCACTAAATGACTTAAATTGAATGACGAATATTCGGTAGGTATTTCGATTAATAGAGAGAGAGAGAGATTCTGTTGTTTGGACACTCATGTCGGATGAGTGTCCCCACAACAGAATCTCATTTTGTCACATTGATTCTATCTTTATCTTGCAAAAGCGTGCCGTCAGAGCTATCTATACTTACGTCACTGCGAATCTCTCAGAGAAAAATAGGGAGATCAAACCGTACCATGTCAATTTATTTATGAAAACATTATGTATGTTAGGAAAAACATTCTATTACTAACTATCAATTAAATTGACAAAAATACACAAATCGTTCATGGGATTCTGTGTTAAATTTTACAACATTATCCCAGACCAAATACAAAACCTTATTGACAGCAAATTTAAATGAAATATAAAGAAAACGTTATGTAGACAAGCATCCTACAAACTAAGTGATTATATATAGAGGATACGAATGCTTGGAAGCTAGCTGGTCCTACTCCACACTATCAGTACTCTACATATTTACAAAAAATATTAATGTTAAGAGAGATTTCAATAGTGTTGCCCAAATGCAAGAACAAGACGAGACTTAGCCAGTCTTGGTCTTGGTCTTGCGCCAATACACCTGGTCTTGGTCTTGCGCCAATACACCTGGTCTTGGTCTTGGTCTTGGTCTTGCGCTCCCAGTCTTGGTCTTGCAGCAACTTGCAATTACCTATTAGTCTATTACTATTTATTAAAGTTTACTTTAAATCTTAGAAAAACGTATTAGAATTGGAACATTGTGAGCTTGAATTAACATAGCCATAGTAAAGATCAAGCAGATTAATAAATAACTGAAGATTTCATAAGAAATTCGAAAAATCAACTGACCTATATGTCGTTTTCCATGGAAATAACTGTTTCTTAATAAACATTTATGATTTATAAGCTTACATTTGCTAAAACATGTAAAAAACAAATTAGTTACAATAACTTGACTGTATTTTAAAGAACAATACTTATCTGTGTAGAAAGAGATTGAACCCTCAACTTATAAGAAATTTAATAAAAGAGTATTACGATTGATCATTTTTTTGAATAAAAAATAAAATACAACACAAATCAACAGCTTTATCATTAGGTTATGATACTTTATAGCAATTTTTTTGACCAAGAATTAATACAAAGTAACCATCTGACTGACTCATCACTTAACCTATTTCTATGTTTTCTAATTTCTAATGATGCTTTAGAAAATAACCTCTCAGCAGTTTCAAGTTTATTTAAAAGTGGCTACAATATTTATTAAACGGGTGATATTTGAACACTTTTTTGCTGTTTTTTCTTGTAAAAACTTAAGAAATATAATGACTAAATGTACAATAATAGTACCTAAGTAATTAGTTTAAAACCATATAAGTAATCAATATTATAATATATACTTACTAGAATGAATTAATATGACATCTACTACCTATCCTTACCATTTTATCCTAATCATAATACTTGCGTGATCAGTATAATGTATTCATTTTCATTCTAAACACTCTGAAACTTATTTATTCTTTGGAACACCTGTAGGTACTCTTAAAATTCGAAATTATTTTGCATGAGTATACCAACGCCCTATGGCGGCAATCAAATAGTGTCAAATGTTATGATTTCGGCGTGGCGGCAAGGATTGTTTTAGATTTCAAAAGAAGCCGCCGGCGCGTGTATCATAACCATGTACTTCCGAAAAGCGGCAAATTTCTTTGAGAAGTAAGAACAAAACCTTTGATGCCGCATTATCAAAGTGCCGATGGTTAAAACATAAGTATGCATGCACTCAGTTTGATTTTAATAGATATTTTTTTATTCGCTATGTTTATGGTATTAGTCGTAATGAGCGTAGGTAGGTAGGTTTTTCATATTCTTTGATACAGTTTTTTGCGTCTCATAGAATTCCTAAGCGTACTTACCTACCTATACACCGAACTGTTACACCTAACTACTCAGTGAAATAGCGCTAAGTCCTAGCTGCAAGACGCAAGAGTCTTGCAGGCTATGTCTTGTTCTTGCTCAAGTCTTGCACGGTCAGTCTTGGTCTTGGTCTTGCTAAAAATACGCGGTCTTGTTCTTGGTCTTGGACTTGCGCAAGAACGCAAGAACAAGACCAAGACTGAATTTGGGCAACACTAGATTTCAATTTATAATATGACACACCATGTTGTTAATTTCTTGATAAATTTAAAAATTATTTTGTATCAGCTTGGAGTTGTGTTGCTCATTCAGAGGTTCCACTGGCGGTGGCACGGGCACTGGATTGCTCGATTCCCTATAATATGGTTGAGTTGGGTGGCGCTGGTATACGTGTTATGTTCATAAACGGGCGCCGTCATTTGGGATTGGTCAACTCGAGACTGTTTGAATATTTCATTGAGGTTATTTCTTTTCCGATGCTTTGAATGAATATTAGTGTTACATTGTTCTCACATAATATAACCGACTACATGATGTAACAAAAATGGTTTGGGAAATTAATTGAAAAAGAATAGCCGTGGAGTTTCCTGCTAGTTCTTCTCTATTGGAATTCTCCGGTTACCTCACTTACACGGCGAAACACAACGCTTTGAGACGAGGCCTTTGCTCATCAGTAAGCACTTGAAGGCTGATGATGTGAGGTGATGTTGTGTGTGGTTGTGTTTACCTGATGGTAAGCAATCAGCGCCACCCATGGATAGCCATAACAACAGAGGAGTTACAAGTGCGTTGCCGACCTTTTGGGGATTAGGGATTTGGAGACGGAGAAGAAATGGGCCGCTGGTAACCTCACTCACACGAGGAAACATAACGCTGTAATTGTTTCACGATGGTTTTCTGTGAGGCCGTGGTATAACTTCGGTCGAGCCGACCCATCTGTCGCAAGAAAAACGCATGTTCAACAGATACGGTGTTTCAAAATTGAGCCTTAGTCTTGAACACATAAAGTACAAACATAAGTTTTAAGATTCAAATGCTTCCTTTTTTGTGTTAGGACTTTTTTCTACTACCTAAGCATATGAAGGTATTCCATTTTGAAATATTATTTACTAGCTACTACCGCGGTTTCATCCGCTGCTCGTCTCCTATTGGTTGGATGTGATATAGCCTATAGTCACTCAGCACTAGAACATTGTAGCTATCTATCAGTGAAATAATTTTGGTAAACCGACCGAAGCAGTTCCAACCATACTTACAAACTTTCACATTTTACCTCTTTATGGTATTAGTATAGATTCTATAGATTTAAAAATAACACAACACATTGAGTATTGTTTTTGTAACGAAACAAAACCTAATAAAAAAAATCACTTGACAGGTGTCTAAACCGCGCTTTAGAAAATGAGGCCAAAATAAAATAGAAATTTGTAAAAATTAGTCTTTAATGTTCAATGTTCAAATTACAAATAACTTAAATATAATAGGATCCCAAATTAGAGCTAGTCTTATATTAACTAAATACACAAATAAACTCCATTTTAAGTGAGCAATAATACCTAATTAAGAATTATTCGACAAAAATGATTAACACATAAGTTTTCTAAACACGTCGTACATAGTCGGCCTATAAACGAAGGCCTCTTCTCATACGAAGAAGGTTTGAACATTCACCACGCTTGCTCAATGCGGATTGGTGATTTCAAACTTAAAATTAGAAATTATAAGTCCAGGTTCCCTCACGATGTTTGCCTTTATCGTTTGTCAGTGGTGTCTAAATAATCATAGAAAGTATACATAACTTGGAAGAAGTCATATTGGTTGATAGGTTTCGAAAGAGCACCCGACAATCCGACCACCACGACAAAAATTTCTCAATACCTACTTTTTAATACGTAACAACATAGTATAAAGTTATACTTTGGTAGCAATCATTATTATCATTCTGCATTTATGTTCCCTTTTGCATTAAATTACTTAACTATACTAAAACTCTTATAAAAAAGAGAATTTAGGGCTGATTTTTCAATGGTTAGATAAAAGTTCACTGGGGCATAATTATGATACTGTCGCGTCAGAATGTTTGTATAAGACAGTGACAGCAACAATTAATTCCTCAGATAGCATTTATCTGACTTTTGAAAAATCAGTCTTAAATAGAAAAAAGTCATAGATATACCTAAAGTTAGGACATTTTATCTTTATAATAAACGCTATTCGAGTCAGATGAGTAGAAGTATATTATTTATTGAAATCTTGGGTTTCTTTTTGAGCGAAAATCATCATAGGTATGTATTTTTTTTTTGTTTTGCCTGGAGCAGAAGAAGGAACGGAGTAGTTTTAGGCAGTAAGAGTCTGATACTCCCTGATGAGGACAGGGCTACTTGACGATTTTCAGAATAAAAAAAAGAACCGGGACTAGGGTATGCCGCATATCGCCCATTGATGTCGAAAAATCCAACATTTATCATATACTAGTGGCCCGCCCCCGCTTTGCACGGGTCCAACTATCTCCCCATCAAAGGGTCACTTTTTCCTAACCTTCCTCTCTACTTTTCTAATATTTTCTTTGATAAGAACCTTCTCCTGACAATAACAAATACAACAAAAAAAGAATTAGCAAAATTGGTCCAGGCGTTGTTGAGTTATGCGCTTACAACACATTTTGCGATCCATTTTTATATATAAGAAGAAGATATAAGAAGATTATTATTAAATATTAAAAATTCAACTTAACAGAAATTATTATACGTTTACACATCACAATTTTTTGCTTAATCCGACATTTGGCGATCGAGAATTCTGTTGACAATATTCTGTGACTTTAACGTTTTTATTCCAAAATCAGTCTATCAAGATGTATTTAAAAACATTTCCAATTTAGTGATGGAACTTTCTTTGCCTAGTAATAAAACATAATATTCGAAGGTCATCTTGGAAAGTCAAATTTAAGGCTCTGTTGAAGACATACAGAGCCTTTTTATTTTTCTTTCTCAGGGGAAAATCATGAAATTACCTCCGGCCCAGGGTAAGGCGAGAGAGATTGTTAGACTCTTAAATAATAACACAATAATTTTGACGCTCATAGAAATATCACCGTGTTCATGTATTGAACAAAATAGAGATATATGTATGTACAATATTATATAAATAGCCAATATAGCCAATGAAAGTCCGACTTGAAACTATAAGAATGGCTACAAAAGAGAATTTTGGGCTTAATTTTATTTTATTTAGTAACAGAAAATAATCTTTTTGTAATAGTACATTATCGTACAAGTGTGTAATGTTGGTAATACACACGTGTATAAAACGACGTTTTTCAAAACACTTTCGAATAAAAAATTCTTAAATAAATAACTTCAAAAGAGAAAACGAAACAAGTTGTGAAAAAAGTTTCGTAATGGCGGGAAAAAGTTACCAGTTTTCCTTTGCGCGCGCATCGGCCATAGACTAAAGAATGATGTTTCTTTTTTTTAGCGTTTCGCGGATAGCATTTTCGTTCAAGTGTGAGAGTAACTCAACCAATATTTAAAAAAAGAACTCTATTACTCACTAGTGAATAATAGTAATAAAAAAGTCACAGTTTGATAATAGGTGTTATTATGTGCCTAATTACCATGGGATAAGAGCCCATTCATAAGGAAGTGTGTTGAAAAAATAATTTTATTGTGCTATTTATATATCAATAATAGTTCTTTATTTTTGATATCTTATTTTAATTATTCTTAATCTTAACTTACACACACGTCTTATTTTTCTACATCTGCATTGCTTAACGAATATCAATATTTTTTGGTCTAAATTAAATGTGTGTATTGCCCATTTTAACATCAAGAGTGAAAGAATAATTCTACAAATTTTTAATAATTAGATCTTACATACTAATACAAATATTTTATTTTAAAGGTGGTTTTATTATAAATGCACTCTATCTTAGGGTTAGATGTTTACAAATCCGAATCATATATACATATATACATATAACATATAAATTAAAAATATAAATGTATTTATTAAACACGTATATACGTGCAGGAATCAAATTTTCTACTTAATGTCGCCAAAGCAGCCTTTAATCTTGTTACTGTAAAAACCGTACTGACATCATCGTCATCAACATCATCAGCCTATAAGTGCCTATTACTGAGCAAAGGCCTCTTCTTATACGGAGAAGGTTTGAGCATATATCACCACGCTAGCTCAAGGCGGATTGGCGATTTTAAACTTATAATTAGAGACTATAAATCCAGATATCTTCACGATGTTTTTCTTCACCGTAAGTCAGTGGTGTCTAAATAGTCATAGAAAGTACATATCATTCTGAAAGTCACATTGGTACTTGTTAGGTTTCGAACCCGCACCCTCAGTCACGAGAAGTGTGCGCCTTAACCTCCGCGTCACCACGACATAGGCAAGTAGTTTTGCTTAGTAACTTTGGCATACCATATTTACTTACATAATATTTTGTGTAAAGCCAATTTATTTAAAGAAAAATTAAATAGTAAAAAAATATTGTATTTTGATTTTATACCAAATTAGCTACTCCCGCGCGGTTTCACTCGTTGCTCAGCTCCATTTGATTGTAACGTGATGTTTTATAGCCTATAGCACTCAGGAACATTGTAGCTATTAATAAGTGAAAGAATTTTGAGAATCCGACTAGTTTTTCCAAAGATTCCCCCCTACATACAAACTTACAAATTTTACCTCTTTATAATATTATTAGTATAAGTATAAGTATAAATACATATTACACATACATATAAGTATGTATTATGTTTTTGCTTCACTTTTTGTGTCCTTATACAACAAGGTACTTATTATCTTTTATATACAATACACTTAAAGTAATTACTTAACGAATGAGTATTGAAGTATTATTTAAAAACTAACTAATTATACGCTCGATAGTTTTCTTGGAAGCGACGTCGCCGCTACGCGCACTCTGCTCATGAATAAGAGTCCCGCTGTGACTTGAAATTATTAGAGTTTTTCTCAATTAATTTGCGAGTGTGTAGTTATTTTAAATAAACTACCTTACTCTCATTTCTCCTACATTATTTTGGTAATTCTCCAATTAGGTCCCTCTCCTAATTACCGTTACCATATTTTATTACCAACTGACAAAAACCATTTAAAACCTTGTAAAAACAGTTAAACACAACCAGACTATGGGACACAACTAAGGTACGTTATTTTTCCTCGTAAGCAATTGGCGACGCCCATGGCCACCCGCAACACCAAATGAGTTACGAGTGCGTTGCCAGCCTTTTAGGGATAAGGGTTTCGTGTATTTAAGGATTGGCAAAGGCCAACCTCCCCCTAGGAGGTGGAGGAATTGGACCTATGGTAACCTCAACCACACGGCGAAACATTATTGAGTTGATGGCGTTCGACGCGTCCTTATCGGTTATTATAATTAGAGCTCCAGTCAATCTATTCAGCATTTCAAATTTCTTGCAAAATTCTTTTTTCAAAGGATTGGATGCTGTTTTCCTCCTTTAGTCCATTCTACTTCTGTTGTGTAACGCTATGCCGTTTGGTTGAGAAGAAATTTTACTCTGTAAAGTAACTGCTTCTTGGTTTGAATCCGATATGCTGCTGGTATAACTCTTCGACGATGGATTCCAGTGCATTTTCTCGTGCATGCGAAAGAATCTGGGTAAAAGAAAAATATTTATATAATCATTATTTTGGTATCACATGTGCCTTTTTCTAAAGAGTTTAATACTTTTTTTTTTTGATTTTTTTGTCATAGTTATTTATATCGAATATGATTCATTAATTGAAAAAATAAAATCTGATGATGAGATTTCAGCATTATATATTTTTTAACCAAGAATAACTTTTTATAAATAATCGATTTATTTAGATACTTTGTAGTTTTGCTTTAACAATGTTTTATATTACTGTTGTTATAATATGTATTGTGGTTCATATTACACTTACCGTTTATCCAGTTTCTTAAGTATTTTCTTCTTGCATACAAATATCAGGAATATGGCCAATCCAACGAGGATGTTGTACGAATCAGTTAAATACCACATCTTGAAGCCAGGATATAAGAAACTGATGATTTCCAACAACCAATTCAATCCCATCACTACTGACAGTTTGAGGTATACCATGAATCTAGAAAGATAAAGAAAATATAAAATTAGCAAAAAATATGGAGTGGACATCTATCATTTTAAAACTTTAAATCGTCGTATGTGACCATCATCTTCCTGCCCTTGTCCCGTTTTATTTGGGGTCGGCACAATATGTTTTTTTCTGTCCTGTCACCCGTCACGCTATCACTAACTCCTCTGTCTTCCATATCAATTCTCACACAATCCATCCATATTTTCTTTGGTCTCCCTCTCCCTCTCCATCCATCCACATCGCATGTATGTGACCGCTACTTAATAAACTTTAATGCTGAATTACATAATGTAATATATCAAATTCTCGTGTCACAGTTTTCGTTGCCATACTCCTCCGAAACGGCTTGACGATTTTGATGAAATTTTTTGTGCTTATCCGGTATCTAAGGGAATCGGGCAACATCTATTTTTCATCCCCCTAAATGTTAGGGGTGCTCCAACCCAATTTTTTTATTTTTTAGACAAAATTTTTTATTTCTATTTTTTTATGATACAACATACAAAAATACATACAATCCTCAATTTTCACCCTTTTACGATCAACCCTTATTTTTATGGCAAAACAACCTTTGCCGGGTCAGCTGTTTTACTGTATCTGAATAGCCGCTATGTGCCAAATAAATTTGAATATGGAACGTATTTTCATAAACTGTGATATAATTTTTTTTTTTTTATTTTTATTTGTCCATTTATTTCAGGCATCGAAGGCCCATATAAACATATACAATACTATATTTTCTAAAACTTAACAATACTATAAATATATATTACATAATTAACTTATTGATTATTCATTGTTTTATTAATGTACACAAAGTGTCGGCGTCGTGTTTCGCTGACTGGTGTCACGTAGCTGGCCACGAAACCGGCGGTACATAACACCTTTCGGCCAAAACTCGTCTTTGAGGAACTTCTCGAGGTGATGTGTTGGAACTCGCACCACGAACGACTTGAAGTTCGTTTTGTGACGCGGCTCCAACAGCTCGACCCTCAAAGTCCAGTTGGTCTTCACGCGCATATATTCCACGACCTCCTCAACCTTCGTGGAATGATGCAGTCTGGACACGTACAGCAGCGTTGTCGGTACGGCTGGACGCAGCAACATGTTGGGCCCTGCCAATGCAGTACCGCACTGGTTCCGACAAGGAGGCTTCTTCCTTTTCTTCCTCTTCTCCACCTTGATGAAACCATCGCTGTCGCCCGTGTCCTTATCTGGGCACTGCCCTTTCAGAACCTGTTTAGGTTTTGGCAGGCTCCGTTTAACCCCTTTCACTTTATCCGCTACTTTAACCTGCGAGTTTTGTGGCTCAACAGGCTTATTAGCGGCGGTTACAATTGCTGCGTAGGCTCGATTGGGTGTCGTCGAACCTACACACGTCGTCGTCTCCACCGGTGTCGAGGCAGGGACGGCCGCGGCACGCGTTGCAACACGTGCATCCTCGGCAGCTGGTGACGTATTCGAGCCCGCTGACTCGAAACTGCAGATGGAGGCGTCTTGTGCCCCGCGACGTGTGTTCACATTCGCGTTGCTGGGTGACCTACTTGCAGTAATTGCATTGCGCAATGACACTACTTCTGCCCGTAGATCACGGATGGTATTGTTGGACACCTCCAGCTGATGCTGCATCTCGACCTGCTTTTGCTTTAGGAATGTAATATCCTTAAGCAGCCTGGTGACATCTACGTGATCGAACGTGACGGGAGGCAGCTTGTGCAGGTCCTTCGCCACGAATTGAGGCACGTCGTCCGGGTCGATCTCCTTCAACAATGTAATTATGTCTTGGATGCTTTTCTCCGTGCCATCCCTTCGACGAGACGGCATCTGGCTGAGTTTGCCAAGCGTCGTGAACAGCAGCAACTTGGCACTGCATATCTCATCCTCTTTGAAGGATGTTTTGCAGATCTGCAAGATGCTGACCTCGTCCATGTAGTCGATGGCATGTTTGATAAATGCCAAAACTTCATTGGCTATGAGCGTTTGGGTGCTCATAGCGGAAACCGGGCAGCAGCTAAAGCCGCGCAAATCGCGAATATAATATTCAGACGTAGCAGTGCAAACGCGTCCGTACTCGACCGCGCATCGCAACCGATATAAGATTACCTGGAACTTACATGCGCTGTAATAGGTTGTGCTACGAAAAACAGAATTAGTTTCGTAACGCAATGCTACGGCGTAGCTATCGTAGTACTTCGTAGTATAAAGAGGTGAAGAAGTTGTTCATTTAGCTTTTAATTTTTGCTTTTATTTTAATTTTTGATGGTACTATATAACTATACAAACTACTGACCCTTATAGTTAAAACATAATTTTCATTGATTTTACATACGAATACTGACCTTTGTCTGTGTGTGCGATGTGCTTGTGGCGTACCGGCTGCTGCAGTATCAAGCATAGCAGTTCCCCGACTTAACCTCCAAATATTGAACGCAGTCAAGATGTAGAATATCCAATTGCAAAGAATCAAAATCAACATTGGCATGTATAAGTATAACAGCTTCTCACCTCCTGAAATAATTTTTAAAAAACTGTTTAGAAAAAAAAATACGGTTATCTTGCTTGTCGATTCGGTCGTAAGTGTTATAGTCTACCAAGAACTTCAGGTTCGAATTCCGCACGTAACAACGCAATCTATAAATTTTTGTACCGGGTCTGACTATAATGAAAATGTTTGTAAACAGAACAAAATCCAAGTGTGGGTTAACGTTTCTTTTTCAAATAAACCCCTTTAAAGGGGTTATATTGCCAAAAAATTTCATTACTAACACAAAATGTAGAAATGTGCTCCAATATGTTCCGCTTACCAAGTATGCATTGGGGCAAAAATCATAAGTGATTTACATATCCATCACTTTCACCATCACCTAATCTTTAAAACCCCTTAAAAGCTACTCACTTGGTGTCTATGAAACGACGCCGATTGCTTACCATCAGTTAATAAGTCTGCTCGTTAATCACCTATCCACATAATATTACATTATGGCACAAGTGTGTAAAGTTGGTGATTATCTTAGAGGCGCATTGTCTTAAGGAGCCGAGGATGGTATAATCATCAATACACACGTGCATGATGCACGGTGCATCATACGACCTTCTTAATACACTTTAAAGTAAATAATACTTAAATAAAAAAATATAATTTTCCAGAGAAAACGAGACGAGTTGTGAAAAATGTTTCTTAATGGCGGGAAAAATTTGTCAGTATACCTTTGCGCGCGCAGCGGCCATAGACTAAAAAACTCTATTTCTCACTTGTGAATGAAAAAGTCACAGTTTGATTATAGGTAGTTTATGAGAAAGTGTGTTAAAAAGTTATTTTTAATACAGTTGCTTAAAAAGTGGCGTATTGCAGGGACGTGTAGCGTTCGGGATCTGGGCTATTTCACACTCGTGCTATTTTTGCATTTCCCGAACTCCGTTTATTTGTTTCTAAAAAGAAGCTACCTATACTAATTTGTCCAATATCAGAATTAATTATTTGATTGAATGAGTTAGGTAAGGTTTCAGTTCACTTCATATCATTAAATTTCAATTTAATTTCTTATAATAAAAAATATTAAGTACTAAAGACTTGGCTGTATGGGCAGTTCCCTTTGCCTACCAGAATGGGTGAAAAAAAACTGCTTACATTCTACGGTTGGCGCCATTTTCCGAACTTTTCTTCGCGAGTTTAAATAAATGGTTAGTTAATTGAGTTTATTGTGGTTATATAATTTGATTAAATAGCTTATTATTTACGCAACTGTATTAAAAATACTCGTTCCGACTGTCAACTCTCGCCTTAGGCTCATTCCGTACTAGTAATGAAATATACTATTATTACCTTCAATGAAGCAGCCGTGGATTGGTATGTGAGGAGTCACAAACCAAGGCAGATGTTTCATGTCGACAGTGTTAAGGACACCTAGACCTATAGTCATGGCCAATGGTAGACCCCACGCGTATAGGCAATACATCATGAATTTAAACCGTTCTCCACGACGATGGATGGGTCTGGCTTTAGCGTAACCTCTGAAAAAACGTACATGGGCGATTACCCCAAATGCTAGCAATAAAATAGCAGCACTCCAAATAAATGGTCAAATTCTGAGGTTCTCACTTAATAATTTCGTTTACTAGAGCAATGAATGAATAAATAATGCGTTTTAGGAATCCTACAATTAGAGACACCATATTTTGAGACTTCAAAATGGCGAAAATTTTGTGTAAAAACATTTATTAATTTTGTGGGTTGCAGTTTCTTTCGGTTTTGCTTGTTTGCTGTAATCCGTGTTAAACTTTAGGTACAGGTTCAGGGACAGGGACTGGAATTGGGGATTGAGATAGGGGATAGGAGATAAGTGATATGGGATTAGAGGTTGGGATTGGGGATTGGGATTAGGTATTGGAGATTGAGGATAGGGGTTAGTGTTGAAAATTGGTGATTGAAAACGGGATTGGGTTGGCGATTGGGGATTGGGGATTGAATGTTTGCGATTGGAGATTGGGGATTGGGGCAAAATAAAACATTTGTTACCACTATTTTCTTCGGATTTTAGAACATAAATCCTTACCTGAAAGTCCACCAAATATCGTATGACATCACGCTCATCCAGCAGAAACTCGCCAAAAAGAAGAAGTAGATAGAAAAAGCTGGAAAAAATTACGCTAAATTATTTTTTGTACTGTATGAAGTGTAGTACTATTTGTACTGTATTATAATTAATTATAATAATCATTCGTTCATGTTAGAATAGAAAAATGCACCGATTAACCGATGTTTTATGCAGTATTGCTTATGTTTAATTTAGCACTCGATATTATTTTAGTAAAATATTACAGGTAAAAATACGAGACGCGGAAGAAACTAAGTTTAAAACCGCATTTGATTGTAAAATTAAAGTCAAAGTTTTCACATCTTGCTATGGTTTTTAACTAAAATGACTATTTATATATTTACTACATTTGGTTTTTTTTGTGAGGGGAAAATCATCAAATGACTTCTCTCACCAAGGGCCGGGCGGGAGGGAGTGTCAGACTCTTACTGACTAAAAACCCCCCTGTTCCTTCTCCTGCTCTCGGCCGAGGTCACGGTGCCTCATTGCGCTTACCCCGCAACCCCGGCTGACTACATTTGGTTTTAGAATACAATTTGAAGTAAAAAAATATTTAAGTATTGGGAAGGGATGGGGGGAGGAGGAGCGATTAAGCCTCCAGTAAGCTCACTCTCATGGCGAAACACAACGCTGTGGTTGTTTCACGCCGGTTTTCTGTGAGGCCGTGGTATTACTCCGGTCGAGCCGACCCATTCGTGCCGAAGCTTGGCTCTGCCACACTTAAATATATTTAATCCCTATTGCAATTAGATCTTGTTATAATTGGTTTTTCTGACGACATCCGCAGGGTGGCTGGCAGTGGTTGGATAAGAAGAGCTGAACATCGAGCTCAGTGGCGTGCAATTGGGGAGGCCTATGTCCAGCAGTGGACGACAACAGGCTGATGATGATGATGATGATGATGATAATTGTATGCAGTCATACTAAAATAGTTTTTAGTTTAAAAAAATAGATAAAGTAATGATAAAATTATATTGATCATACCAAGTTAGTTCAATAACTACTTACTCAATCCAACACAGGTGATCGAGGGATGAACTTTTATCTGAATGATGGCCAAAAGTAAGAAGGCCATGAACAGACTGGCGACATACGCCATGAGGATAAGACCACATAGGTTCTGGAGTTCAGGCAGTAAGGAGTACACTATCAGCACCAACAGCATGAAGAAGCAGGACACCAGCGTCGCTGTTGACAAAAATTGAATTGTTTTAATGTAACTGTAAGTCGATATATGTATATTTTTTTACTCCCTTGAAAAGTTTCCCCGCAAGAGGATTTCCTCCTGTGTCTTGGATGCGTTTACAAATATACAATTTCAGTTGCACAGCTCATCCAGACCAATAGAATAGAATAGAAATTTTATTTGCTTAAACACATACATAAAGAATTAAAATGCATGACATGTCTGCCTATCTCAAGGCGTGCAAATATGTTAGGTAAAGTTTTTTTATCAAATAGATTCAAATTATAGGAGTACAATTACACTTATACATTAAGTTACATCAAATTCTAAAGATCAACAATATATTAGTTACATACACATATCATTACATTATCAATTTATATGTATTTTTTAATTATTTCATTTACTAACACAAGGAGTCATTTAAAAATTCTATAATAACAATTTGTGGATCAGATAAAGTGTAGTTCCGTGCGGGAATCAAACCCGCGACACATTGCGCGGCAGCCAGTTGCCCAACCAACGCGCTAACTATGCAGTCAAATTCTAAAAACCTTCTTCCTTCTCTTGCTCCAGGCAAAGGCCTCGTATCTTATTGCGCTTGCCTCGCAGCCTGCCTTGCCTGCTTAAACATCAACCTTGTTAGGCTCCAATTGCGATAGGCTCCTATCTGTAGTGATCTATTGGCTCTTTAAAGCGCGCGTGGTACGGTGCGTAGCGTGCTTGGGTCTGCAGTGTGATTCTGTAAGACTTCATTCTAAACTTCGAATCTGAATCCGCCGTGAGTAGTAGTAAACTAGCGCTACACTTGCGAGTTGAACTAAATTGTTAAAAGTGGCATTCTAAAATTTAATTTCCCCGTCACTTCGCACTCGAACACGATTCAAAATCAAACAAATTTTATAGAATCAACGTGCTGGTGCTGGTCGAGCGGCGAACCTTGTCACCGATCGGAGACCCGCCCTTACGGTGTCACGCGATTCATAATATAACAGAATATGTGTCTTTTACTCGGTATTGACTTCGTTCTCAAGTGTAATTAATTAAAAGTGTATTAGCGAGAATATCGAAAAACCCGACTTTACCAGGAATAGACTCAGTTTCTATGTGTCAGTAAAACGTGGAAACATTAGTTTTTAGTACACCCCTGGCAATCACTTCCAGGAATACATTTTATAATTGACGCATGACCATTTGGATTGTTTATAAAATAATAATATTTAATTAATATACCAGTACAGAAATAATAATCATATCGTAGTTGGTTGTATGATTCATTTTTCTCTGTGGTCATCGAGTCTATTAGTTTAATGATCCAATTGTTTTTAACATTATTATTTTATTCGTAACATTTCGCTTTGATATTCTTAAAGTGGAAGACTCACATGGGATTGCTTTGGCAGAAGATGGCGAAGGAAACTGCCAGACTCTTGTTGTACATAAAATACATAGTATAAAACACCACAACCCCTATAATTAAATGACATGTGCTTATGATTGATTTGATTTGAGAAGATGCACACGTACATACGTTTTAAGAAGATAATGATTGGTTGCCATCTTCATAATGAGTAGGTGTACCAATGAACTGTCTGCGTGTTTTTGATCATGGCTACCCAATGTTAAGCAAAGAGGTTTGAATACAATCGTTTATATGGTTGACAATATCGACCTGCTTATTCATTTTTCTTTCATAGAATAGTCGGCAAACAAGCTGACGGTATGCTTGACGGTAAGCGACCAGCGTCACGTATGTTGGCCTTAAAATGCCTATTATATGAAAACATTAAATAATTTAATAACAATAAAAACAAGCCAGCTATCACGTTCAATTGATTGGTCAATAAATCGAATGCGTTATAATTTATAAATGCCTTAAGTTACCTTATATTTTGTTTGTTAGAGATTGTTTGTTATAGAAAGATATCAATTTTTAAAAACATACGTACACTAATAATTGATTTTATAGTATTATTTTGCTAATAAAGTAAGTATGCTAGATATTTTACAATTTCAGATACATATCACATCCAGAACAGGAACAACAATTTGTGCATCCCACAAAGAGTTGTTCCGTGTAGGAACCGAACCGAAGATATTACTCGACCTCTTTTTTTACGGATAGCACTTCAGTTTATCGCCATCCCTGTCTTTCGTACTACGTTTTGTAAAGGTTGGAGCAGGAGAGGTATGTTAAAAGCGTCACAGATTTAAATTAAATAGGGCACGGGACTGGGCGCCTCTAGGAGGTGGCGCGACAGATGCGCGTAATGGCGACCGACCTTATGGAGGCCGTTCGACATACGAGAGGGAACGGTTTGAAACAGCACTCACCACAAGTCATAAACATGCTGCTCTTTGGTGTGTCTTTGCTACCGGGTATTGTGATCCAGTAACCAAGTCTTGTTAGATTTTTCTTCTCTATGAACCTATAGTCGATACAGAAGTTCGAAGGAGGTATACCAATCCATCGGTTGTACGAATTCGGATGCTCCCATTCAAGTCCGCCATTCTGCAATCACAAAATATACAATTTTATCTTAATATCTAGGTACTATGTATACTATATACTATACTATAATGTAATATACAATAATATTATAAATAGGTAAAATTTGTTAGTTTGTAAATTGTATGTAGGGGGTAATCTTTTCAATTCAATTCAATTCTTTATTTGCATTCCATATGTTATACAGGTGATATTTTATAAAGTTGACACAATATATTAGAAACAATATGGACCCGTTAGGGCACAGCATAAAGAGTTTGGAGAGGTTTGTTATACAGTACATATTGTCTAGTTTTGTGTTATATATATGCTTATTACTAAAACACATGTTGTATTCTTATCTTACTTATTAAACTTATTAATACTTATCTTAATGTATGTGTGCGTGCGTGTATTTGGGTGTGTGTGTGTGTGTGTGTGTGTGTGTGTGTGTGTGTGTGTGTGTGTGTGTGTGTGTGTGTGTGTGTGTGTGTGTGTGTGTGTGTGTGTGTGTGTGTGTGTGTGTGTGTGTGTGTGTGTGTGTGTGTGTGTGTGTGTGTGTGTGTGTGTGTGTGTGTGTTTGTGTGTAAAGGCTTATTTTTTAATTTTTTTTTATTCGTTTATTTTTTTTTTATATATTTTAGTTTGTATTAGTGTTCATTATTTTTTTATTGACTTATCATCCATGTATTCTTTTATTGTATAATAACATTTAGAGTGTAAAAAGTTCTTTAATTTATTTATAAACGTAGATGTTTTCGTTTCATCTTTGATCGTTTTAGGTAAGTTGTTATATATTTTTATTGACATTATTAGCGGACCGGAAGAATGTATTTTAAGGTGGGATGTAGGTAGATTTAATCTATTCTTGTGTCGTAGGCTATATTTACTTTGAGTATCTTGTCGGGTAGTATAGAATTCAGGGTGATTTCTGACGAATTTGCATACTTCTAGGATATATAAACAGGTAAGTGTGAGAATTTTGTATTTTTGGAAATGTGGTTTGCAGCTGTCTGTTTGTTCAATATTGGTTATTATTCGGATGAGTTTCTTTTGCAAGGTAAAAATGGTGTGCGAATCGGTACTATTTCCCCATAATATGATGCCATAACTAAGCCATGCTTGGGCGTAGGCATAGTATGTGATAAGTGCTGTATGTAGGTTGGTGGTTTTTTTAATTTCGCGTAAGGCGTATGAGAATTTTGAAAGTTTTGACCGAATTTTTTGTATATGTGCTTTCCAAGTTACATGTGTATCTATTACTAAACCAAGGAGTGTGAATTCGTTAACTTGTTCTAGTTTTGTGTTATTGTAGGAGTAGTTTAATTTTATCGGGGCTTTTTGATGGGGGTGGAAGGTAATTAATTTAGTTTTTGAAAAGTTTATTTCTAAGTTATGGTTTTCCATCCAGTTGAATGTTGAAGTAAGAAGAGAATTTAGTTTTTCGTTTATATTGTCAATTTTTTGGCATGAGGTGAGTATGGAGACATCATCTGCAAACAACACACATGGTCCGTTAATTGTTTTGGGAAGGTCGTTAATGTAGATGAGAAATAGAAGGCACCCTATGACGCTCCCTTGTGGGATAGAGGCATTCACTGCTTTTAGGTTTGATCTGATTTGTTGTATTTCGTTATTGTTTTTATTAAAGTATTCTATTTCTATAATTTGTTCTCTATCTTTTAAGTAAGACTCGAACCATTTTAAGGCGTTTCCCCGTATCCCGATCCCGTGTAATTTATTTAAAAGTATTTTGAACTGCACCTTATCGTAGGCTTTAGTCATGTCGAGTAATATTCCTATTGCATAATCTCTATTATTTATCATATTTAGGGCTTCTTGTACGTATTTGTAAACAGCTAAGGTTGTGGATCTATTTTTCCGGAAACCGTTTTGGCAATCGTCTAATATTTTATATTTTTCACAGAAGGAGTATACACGATTGCACATAGCCTTCTCAAAAATTTTTGAAGCCGTAGGTAGTAGCGCTATAGGGCGGTAGTTGCTGGGGTCTGTTTTTTCATTCTTTTTATGGATAGGTTTTATTAAAGCTATTTTTAATTCTTTAGGAAATATTCCTTCATCAAATGATTGGTTGATTAAAAGATAAAAGGGTATTGTAAGTTCGTCGGCACAGTGTTTAATTAATAATGGGGGTAGTTCGTCAATACCATGGCTTCTTTTGTTTTGTAGATTTTTAATAATTCGGTTAACTTCGTATCCGTCCACTGGGCTGAGAAACATAGTATTTTCTGTAGGGCAAACTACCGGAGCTCCCATTGGTTCAGTTCCAGAAGAGTTGCTATTTTCACCTATAGATGCAAAGTAGTTGTTAAAAATGTTTGCTATATGCTTTGGTTCAGTAATTATGTTATTGTCTATGTTAAGTTTCAAATTATTTTTTTGTCTTTTTATTGTTTTGTTTGTTTTTTTCGTTTATTATTCCCCACATGGTTTTAGTTTTGTTTGTAGATCTGTGTAATTTGTTAATATTTTGTAATTTTTTAGATGTTGTTACCGTTTTTTTTAGTGTTTTTTCGTACTGTTTATAGTATTTTGTTAGAGTGGGATCATTAGTTTTCATTGTGAGAATCTTAAGTAGTCTTTTGTTTTTACATGCTAGTTTGATGCCTTTTGTGAGCCAATATTTTTTGAGTTTTGATTTTAATTTTACTTTTTGTAAAGGTATACATTGGTTTAAGTATTTTAGTAGTATGTTTTTGAAGTCAGTATAATTTTCGTCGATGGTTTTATCAGTTTTTATTATGTCCTGCCAATTTTGTTTACTCATTTCAGATTTAAATTTATTCATGTTGTCTTCGCTAAATAGCCTTTTTTTAACATACCAGATTATCTGTTTACTGTTTTTAGTGGTCTTTATTAGCATGTGTAAGACTGTTGCACTGTGGTCAGAAAAACCTAGTTCTTCAATGGTAGTGTAGTTATTTTTTTTATTAAAATTGGTAAATATTAAATCAAGACATGTTGAAGTTGTTGTAGAAATTCGTGTGGGTGATTTTATATGTTGTATGAATTTGTGTTCTAGCATGAAATCTAAGAAAAGGTTAGTTTTTAAATTATTATCTAAAATATTTATATTTAAATCGCCTCCTATTACAACATTGTACTTAAGGTATTTTTTATTTATATAATACATAATTTGTTTTATTTGGCACATAAATATTTCTTCTTCTTTTTTGTTCCAATAAATAGTTACGATTAGAATATTTTCCTTTGGTAATTCTATTGCACATGCTTCTATACAATATTCTATAGACATATCTCTAATATCACATATTTCCTTAAATTCTATATTTTCGCGTAATAAAATGCAGACGCCGCCGCCTCCTCGAGTGCGCCGGCAGAAGGATGCTGCAGTTGTGTAGCCGCTGAGGTGTAGGTTCTCTAGTTTCTCCTGGGACAGCCACGTTTCAGTTAAACATATGGCGTTATATTCTGGTTTTTCATTGATAAAAGCTTCTAGTAGGTGATGTTTATTATTAATACTTTGTATATTTTGGTAAAGAATTTTAAATTTTTGTTCTGTAGTTCCGAAATGTATAGTTTAGAGGGTTGTCTTCGTTGTTGTCGGATTGGTAGTTTTTGTTAGTTATTTGTTTATTTTCTTGTTGGTTTGTAGGCGTTAGGTAGGATTCTTTGTCATCTTTTAGTGTTACTTGTTTTCCGTCTATAAATAGTCTGTTATTACGAATTATTGCATATTGACCGTTTTTCCGTGCTTTCATCATTTCTTCGCGAAGTAAATTTCTATGTTTGCGTGCGGTTTCATTTAAGAATTCAGTTATAAATATCCCAGTTCCTTGAAAGTAGTTACCGTTTTCAGTTATATACTTAGATATTCTTTTGCTTAAGAGCTCAATTACTAAAGGTCGATTTTTAGTATTCTTCCTTCCTATTCTATAAATTTCTTCTATGTAGCCCGTCAGGTCTACATTAAGTATTTCATGAAACATGTCTATCAATCTACTGTGTAATTCCCATTCAGTTTCATTGTGCTGTTCAGTGAGGCCATAAATCACAATTTTTTTCGAATTGTTTTCTGTGTGTTTTGGTTCTGTGAACTCTGGTTCTGGAACCGCTGGTCGGATTCCCAAAATTCTTTCACTGATAGATAGCTACAATGTTCCTGAGTACTATAGGCTATACAACATCACGCTACGACCAAATGGAGCCGAGCAGCGGGCGAAACCGTCCTGAACATGGTCTAGCTCTTGCCCCAAATGTTCAGGGTCATTGAGGTCACAGAGGAAAACACAACCTGGCTTTCTTTCAAAGTCGGTTAACACATCTGTGGATATAGTCAGCGTAGTGTGTAGACGGCCTAATATGGTAGAAAACGAAAATAAGGGGGTAGATGAAGAATCATCACCCGAATGCAGGGAGCTGTGACATCGCGTCTTCAGTCTGCTTGTGACCACGACCTGTGCAACCGGGTCGAAACGTCAAGCCTAACAAGGTATTCAAGTAATAATTTTCCACGTTAATAGCCCTGAAAATATATGGTATAAATAAAACACACTTGGCAGGTTATATATAAATATAGGAAAAACGCTATTAAATAATCTGGAACAATGTATTCGCCTGTGAAAACCAAAGAGCAGTTATTTTCCGTAAAGGTTTACCTGCTGTCTTAGCGATATTCTTCAGTTATAATTGTATATAAGTGTAAGTGTGGGAGAGCCATGATTCAGCACGAATAGGTCGGCTCGACCGGACTGATACCACGGCCTCACAGACAACCAGCGTGAAACAACCACAGCGTTGTGTTTCGCCATGTGCGTGAGGTTACCGAAGGCCCAATCCCACCCCTCGCCCAATCCCAAAATCTCCAAATCCCTAATCCCCAAAAGGTTGGCAACGCACTCATAGCTCCTCTATTGTTGCCACCATGGGCGGCGCTAATTGCTTACTATCAGGTAATCCGTCTGCTCGTTTGCCGACTTATTACTTAATATAAAACGTATATCCTCTTCTTAGGAAATACTTTACTTTAACGGATTGCTTGACTTAGAGTATACATATATTTAATAAAAAAAACAATGATGTCAAGTCAGACTGAGTTTCTGGAACAATAATTAAAATAATAACACTTTATCCTGTTTATTACAACAACTTCTCGTTATATATTATATTGTGGTTATTCATATGAATATATTACTTATTAATTTTAAAGTGATATCGAATAGGAAAATAAATACATTAAATAAACATGAAGCAAATTGTTAACTTATGTATATATAATTATTAATTAACCTTCTTATATAAATAAGATTATTAAAGGACATTTGTTAGGAGCATAAATATGAGATCATTAGCTGTGCTCAATCACGTCTTTTGCAATTGTTGACAGACTTCTGTCTTACACTGGAGTGGAAAAGAATAGGATGACAATAGTAAGAGATAGAAATGAATAGAGAATTCTATAGAAGGCATATGTCTTTGTTTTCTTAGGGGAAAATCATCAAATGACTTGTCCCGCCCAGGGTAAGGCGAGAGAGAGTGTCAGACTCTTACTGACTAATAACCCTGCCGTTCCTTTTCCTGCTATGGGCCGAGGCCGCGGTGCCTCATAGGCCTTATATGTCTGAGGTCGGATTACATAAGAGGCTGCCACGGATAAATGGATGGCATATAGCTACAATAAATGGTTTTTCTTTCTTCTTTCTTTCTTTCTTTCTTCTATGTTTTATGATTACAACTCACGAGGGAAACTGCACAAATATTCCCATAATAGAACCTATAAGGGTACTTTCTCGGACAGTTTATCTTTAAAAACATTAAATTGTTGAGAGAGATTACCTAAGATTTAATATTATTTATAAAAAAAAAATTGTTCGTTAGTCTCAGTCGCACTCGTAAATCCTCCGTTGCGGGTGTCAATGGGCGGCGCTGATTGCTTACCATCAGGTAATCCGTCTGCTCGTTTGCCGACCAATTACATAAAAATAAAACAATTTAGTTTTTATCCTTGATCCATCAAGAACGGAAACAATGTGGAAGAAACCCCAGGACTGTTTATCATTGAGGGACTCAACGGACGTAGAATAAGTTTATTATAATAGTTTGAGACCCGAGAATAACCATACAATAACCAGTTCATTAAGTAGCAACCCCGGACAGATTATTTTTGCAATTCTTATTGGCTTCTTAAAGAGTTGAATACCAAAGCTGCAAGTGCAAAAATGTATATTTGTACGTGAAGAGTTTTAGTTAGTTTGACACTCCCTGTTGCCCCGCTAAGGGCGCTTTTTACTTCGGTTTAGCATCTTTTTGAAATACTAACAAAACTACCCTTTCTACTGATTCCTACTAATATATAACTGTGGAAGTTTGTGAGAATGTATGGATGTATGTTTATAATTGTTTCACGTAAAACGACTGGACTTTTTTATCAACATACCACGCGGGCGAAGCCGCGGGCGGAAACTTGTAAATAATATGGGGGAAAATCAAATACATAGTAATGACCCATTTGACATGATTTACCTTCCACTTCCTTATATATTGTTTACTATTAAATATTCTTTAATTCTATTTTTAATTTACACTAAAGCTGCAGAGTTTGTTTGTTTGTTTGTTTCAACGCGCTAATCTCCGTAACTACTGGTTCGAAGTGAACAATTACTTTTGTGTGTTAGTTCATATATCGAGGAAGGCTATATAAGCTATAAAACATCACGCTATGATCTTTAGGACTTGAGCAGCGTGAGAGTAGCCTATAATTGCAATAGGAATAAATATTTTTAAATAGTATAAGAATTGGCTTCAAAATGTTTAAAGTTAAATCCTGACTGTTTGAATAATCTGCAAAATTATTTATACTGCGAATATACATAGATATCACTACTGCATATGCGTCGTTTAAGTGTGTGACGACTCCCACATGTCAACAAGTTAACCAATATCAGCAATGCTTATCGATTTATTATTATACTATTTATGAAGTCGAAAGCAGCTAAAACTTTACGAAAATATATTAATAGACAGTCTGAAACAGCCCAATATGACTTTAAGTAAGTTGAAATAAATAGATAATTTACTTTTTATTTCGTCTTCCAATGAATTAAGATTAACTTAAGATTATATTCAAATAACAACAACGGAATAATGTAAAGTTAACTGAGAAATAACAAAAATATGCATTAAATAAGTGGACGATGCTACGAATATAAATTGACGTCTAAAAGTGCCGTTTTACTGCCTATTTGCAAGAATAAATTCATTGTTTCATTGAATGGGTCGGTTCGACCGAAGTCATACCCCGGCCTCACAGGGAACCGGCGTGAAACAACCACAGCGTTGTGTTTCGCCGTGTGATTGAGGTAACCGGAGGGCCAATCCTTTCCATCCCCCAATCACTGCCCAATCCTTAAATCTCCAAATACCTAATCCCGGAAAAATCGGCGACGCACACGTAACTCCTCCATTGTTGCGGGTGTCCATGGGCTTCGCTAATTGCTTACCATCAGGTAATATGCTGCCTTATCTTAACATAATTTTTTTTTTGTTTCACCCAGGGCGAGTGGGTTAAATCAGGCATTCAAAACACCTATCTTCACCGACGAACAGACTGACAGACTACTATTCTATTTTGACGTTTCAAAAGAACCTATTTATGGTTTAGTTGGAATAAATGATTTTGATTTTATTTGATTTGATTGGATTCCTTCTGCTTCAGACTGATGACACCCGACATATGTATGACACACGTAGTCTGTTTAAATTTCAAGAGAGTACTTTAAAAGTAAATCCCCCAGTTCATATCTTCACAAAAATACCAAACGTTAATCAGTGTTAAACAAACTTGGGGAAGATAACCAATCAATTTCAGAGACATTCCTTGAGCTGTCGACAACAGATCCAGACTTTGAGAACTGTGTTTTAAATATACATATCGATCCTTTTAGAAATGTATTCGATTCTCTGATTTAACTTTGTATAGCCTCAAAATCTAAAATGGTTGTTGTAAAATGCTACTGTTCTGTATTTAAGGAAAACAAAATACTATGAAATAATGAATTTTGTAAATAGGCAATAAACAGCACTTTTATACGTCAAAATTATATGTTAAAAAACTAATCTGGAAAGAAAAACCGAAACAAAATCAGAGGCTCTTTTCAAGTCCAGACAATGTGAAACATTTTTTCAAAGAGATGAAAAATACATTTGTTATTTAAAAACAGGCTTAACTTTAGATACATTGAAGGAAAAGCGATTGAAGTAAGTCAGTTGGACAAAAGTTGCTTGTCTGCAACCAAAAAACTTACCTCAATAATAAAACGGTTGTTGTCTGGCATCGGCTGAATATCCACTGCGGCGCTGCTAAAAGCCCTGTCTGCAAACTTGTACTGCTTGATGCGAAATATGTCACTAAAGTTGCCAACGTACACAATGCCCTTGTTGTATACTTTTAAATTTGAGGGGATAGTGGTTGTGCTATTCGCTGGGATGCATGCTTTTCTGTAGCCTACGACGTAATTTTCTGGACAACATTTGTTGATGTAACTATAGGGCGTTTTGGCTGCCGTAACCACGATGAGTAAGGGTAACAGGATCCACTCACTATACATTGTCACGTCTGCACTCAACGGCGTATAAATGAATTGTATATATTTATTCATTTCCTTGACTTAGATTGTAGGAATTGTACTTCAGTTTCAACGCATATACAGGATGGTAGTTATTGTTTTGTTTTCAAAATCACGTTAAGTTGCGTATAGTAGTAGCGTGACTATATTTTTTTTACGAATATGGTACAGGTATATGATAAAATAATATGAAAGTACACCTAATTTATCAACGTGCAAGATTGCTTGCTCTTCTTCATAGATTTTGGAATTAATGACATACGGATAAATTTGTTTTACTTTTGAAACCTGTACGTGACTACACGGTTGGTGCCGTGCCCGATTGACTGGCTGCCCCGCAACGTTTTGCTGGTTCGGTTCCCGCACGGAACAATTCTTTGTATGATCTACAAATTGTTGTTCCGGCTCTGTGTGAGGTTTATGTGAAATTGTATATTTGTCAACGCACCCACGATACAGGAGAAAATTTTAGTGTGGGGTGACGTAAAAAGAAAAAAGACTGATTGAAAATAAAATCCTTTTAATAGTGGAGAAATTTAGTATCAGGATTGCAACCTTGCGAAGCCGGGGCGGGTCGCTAGTACATTATGAGAATCATTGGTTGTAAGTGGTGCAATATTAGCGCGATAATACTTATCTATGATAGCAGGTAAGTACCGTTCAGTCTTAGAATGATAAAATTTATAGGTAGACATGGTCGCTAATATGTAGCAACACGGGGGCAACATACGTTGAGCTGCTTGGGGAAGGAGAGGCATCCCACAACTATCAGACCAACCCCTAGAGTACGGTCAAGACCCCTACCAGCATCTTACTGAGATACATCTCTCCCCCGAGTCTCCTCCAACTCCTACTATTGCGAATTTCCACTCAAGCCAGCCAAATAAGGCAAGAATGAGGCAGGAGGGCTTGTTCTTCATCAGTGTTCATTCTTGTTCGTCAAGAGGACTAACCGGAGATGAAGAACAAGACAACTCCCGGGATTCATGTCCGTGGAGTCGCCACTGCTCAACAGCTCGCTACAAGCTGCCTTATAACTAAAACAATGCTATTCAATTTTGGAGTGGCTGGTTTTTCAATAGTCAGATAAATGTTATCTGAGGAATAAAAGTTGTTGCTGTCACTGTCTTATACAAACATTCTGACGCGACAGCATCATAATTATTCTTCAGGTAGCTTTTATCTAACCATTGAAGAAGCAGCCCACAACAACAATATTCATTTAAGGGCAATCCACTCTGTTGCCCTGTTATGAATGTACTCAACATTCTATATGCAATATGCAATAACTAAATAAAAACCAATTGAAAATCGAATTCGCTGCTTGTAAATTTTCTGAAATATATTTTTCAACACACTTCCTTATAAAGTAGCTCTAATCCCATGGCAGTTAGGCACATAATGACACTTAATAGCAATGAAACTGTGACTTTTTTTCGTTACTATTATTCACAAGTATAATAGAGTTTAATAGAGTTAATAGTAATAGAGTTTTTTTAAAGGTTGGTTGAGTTACGCCTACACTTTGCTTCAAAATGCTATCCACGAAAAGACCAAAAAAAGAAACATATTTTTTAAGTCTATTGCCGATGCGCGCGCACAGGTAAACTGATAAATTTTCCCGCCATTACCAAACATTTTTCATAACTCGTCTCGTTTTTTTTCTTGAAGTTAAGTATATTGGTTTTTGATTTAACTATCATTATAGGTATTCAGAAGTGTGTTGAAAAACGTCGTATGATAGGTTCACGTGTGTTTTAATGATCACCGTCCATCATCAGCACTACACTCTTGTACCATAATGTACTATTATAATATTTGTACTCTTATTTTAAATCACCATGACTTCTCCCGCCCAGGGTAAGGCGACAGAGAGTGTCAGACTAAACCCGTTCCCATTCCTTCTCCCGTTTTAGACCAAGGCCGCGGTGCTACATTGTGCTTAGCCTGCAAACCAGAGTAAATAATGTATAAAACTTAATAATAATTTTGGCAAGAGTTTGTCACTTAAGTTGTGATTCAAGTCTAGGTTTGCTTATAGCAACTTTTAAACTTTCGTGTTTCAATTTAACAACATATTATTAAATGTGAATTAACGCGAAAAGTACTTAATTATTTAAATACCTTGTTAGGCTTTTTTTGTGAGGGGATAATCATCAAATGACTTCTCAGGCCCAAAAGTGTCAGACTTACTCTGGTATCTGGAGTCCACATGAGGACAAATATAAGTTCATGATAGAACGAATCCAAAATAAGTTTGCCAGATTCATGTATTCAAAATCGTACGGTATATACCCTGGATACCCAATACCATATCCAACTTTGTTTGTACTGGGTATGGTAGGATACTACAAACTGGAGGTGAGGCGTGAAGTAGGTCTAGCTACTTATATGTTTAAGGTGTTGCGAGGTATAACGCACCACCCTGCCCTACTGGAGGAATTACACCTGTGTGTTCCGAACGGGTACGTGCGGCGTAGGCGGCGGCCGCGGCTGCTGGTGGTACCGTGCGCACGCACGAACCTCTTGCAGAAGGCACCAATGACGCGAGCGTTGCGCATATTGAATGCAATAGCGGACAGTACGGATATATTCTCGTGTACACTCAACGAGTTCACAAAGGTAGCATATGAGGTTATTGTGAATAATAACTAAGTTCCTAGGATTGGTACTTATTTGATTCTATATATAATTTATGTTGTTAGTAACTAGGTACATCGATTTTAAAATATAAGTACATATTTGTTATTACTAAAGTTATTTACGTTTATTAGGGATAGTTTTGTGGAAATGTATTAGCCTGTAAGTTTAATTAAGGTTCTTTGTGCTTATGTTCTTTTGTTTTTCTTTGTCTAAATTATTTTACGGTTATTACCCGGATATTGTGTTATAAGTTTACTAATAATATGTAACTGCATTTATCGTATTAGGTGTGCCTGTAATGATGAATGTAATGTTTAAATATAAATAAATAATAAAATAATAATAATAAATAAAAGCCCCCTGTTCCTTCTCCTGCTCTGAGCCGAAGTCGCGGTGCCTCATTGCGCTTACCCCGCAATACCTTGTAAGGCTTAATGTTTCGACCTGGTTGCACAGGTCATGGTTGTCAAGCAGTGACAAACTTTCCATAGTATATACCTAAATAATTTCTAAATATTGTTGTTAAAAATGCTGTTTATGGTTTAATATACTTTTGTAGTTAAGTACAGGTTTTTATGAGAAAATCGGACCCTACTTTATCGTTATGACGAGTACATCGATAATCTTTTGATATCCGTAAACCTACATATCTTTTGGTATCTCTATCTCTAACTTATGTCTGATATATCTGATAAAATTGTCTCAAAATGATTGGTTTTGTTATACAATATATTTAAATTTTCATTAAATTCAACATTCCCGTAGGTCCTAATTATTTATAACTTGCGTCGACTAAAATTATTTCGGTAAAACATCTATTTTTTGTAATAAGACAGCAACATGTGATGGTAATCAATTAGTGCCTCCTATAGATACCCTCAAAACCAAGAGTTCCAAAAGTAATCGGCAACGCACTCGTAGCGTAGATTAAGGTTTCTGCGATTTAATGATTGGATCAGGAGAAATCTACCTGTATAACTCTTATATAGAAAGATTAATTTGTAGTGTAAGTACTTAATTGACAAAAACACTTTACTTAATTGTAAAATCACTTTTTTAATAAAATTGTACTTCGTACACCCTTTATATGATAATAGGAATTTAATTAATTTTAATAATAGGAATAAGGAAAACTAAATAAGTTCAACTTTGAGGTAATTTATAGTGACAATAATCTCCGTGTGTCCTACAGGGCGGCGGGCGGTGCCGAGACGGTTCAACAAGGTGACAACACATTTTACCTCAAAATGGCGGACACAGTATTGTCCTAACTCCTACGCTATGTTGGTCACATACTCATTAGTCATCCAATAAACGAGAAATGTTTTTAATACACTTTTATTAGGTCAACCTGTAACGAAGTATGTAATCACTGCATGGTATAAAACAAAGTCGCTTTGTCTGCCCTTATGCATGCTTAAATCTGTAAAACTACGCAACGGATTTTGATGCGGTTTTGTAATAGATGAAATAATTGAAGAATAAGGTTTATAATATGTATAATAATATCCATAAAATAATGGAAAAACAGTCTGTGTTTTGCAGTTGCTGATTAATTCGTCAGATGATTTTTTACAGCTGCAATATGCTCTTTGAGTCTTTCAGCGATAGTCCGCTGCATTTGCCCAATGTAAGAAATACCACAACTGCAACCAATCTTGAAAATTATAATATTTCCTATTATACTCGGCAATTAAATGTGGATTAGGAGACCATACAATATTACGGTGCAATCGACTTGGTTTGATCATGGAATCGAAAGTGGCTTATAAATGTAGTAATTTTAGGCTCAATGAAAAATTTTCTTTTGTTTTGGGGAATATCGTCAAATTACTTCTAGGCGAGAGAGGGTGTCAGACTGATACTGGCTAAAAACCATCTCATTCCTTCTTCTGCTTTAGGCTGAAGCCACAAAACTTCTTAACATTTACTACAGCAGCAAGTATTGTGAAGAAAAGGAAAATAGGCTAGTACTTTAAAAAAAATGTCTACTGTCTCAGACTTTCTCCTTGTAAAAAGGGGCCTTTGCTCAGCAGTGAGCGCTTATGTTTATTTGCCGATGATATGTGTGCATGTGTAAGGAGATGTCAACATAGTAATATTATTATATCTGAAATAAATTAATAACCAAATAATAAAATTGACGAAGACCTTCAAAGAATTTGTCATAGTCGTATGAGTGAAAATTCAAAAATAAAATGAAGTGAAAAATAAAGTAAAATTTTAATTAATGTACGGACTTTTACTATGCGAATAAGTTTTCACGTTTATATATTTTTCGCCATTCTTTAAGGGAGATTTTGGTTGCTTCAGCCCCGCGTTAACACACATACACACACGCACACATACACGAGTTAGTCGTATACGGTATATAAAATATAATATAATAAAATATATATTATAAAAACTC